AAACCCAGCTTCACCCCTTCCTGTCCCCAATATTTTTTAAGCTATTTGAATTGCATCTCTGTCATTGCAAGTAAAATTATTATGAATAGTAATAAACTTGAATTTCCATTGAGTCTTGGCAATTTTCCATAAAATGTGATCATGGGACCATATATATATATATATATATATAGTGGGAAAGTGGCCAGACTTTACAGTCGGATAATCTAGACCGGAATCCAGTTCCATCTCTTACTAGATCACCTTACTAAACTTGGGTTCCCTCCTTCATAAAGTGGGAATAATAATAGTTCCCATGACATGTTGAGAGAATTCAATGAAATAAATACATAAAGCGATGATCACATCATAAGCATTCCATAATGTGTAGTTATTATCAAAATTAAAGACACGCAGCAAGAATAATTGAAATCAATTCAACAAGAGTAGCAACAAATACTTTTGCACCTCTTAAGTACAGGGATGCTCTACCCTTCTAACCCTGAGCTGGGAACTCTGGAGGATGAGGGAAGAGCACATGCTCTATGCACTCAAGATGCTGGCAGATCCACAGGGAAAAGGATTTTCAAAATGTAGGAGACGTCACAAGGCAGGCCAAGATTATTTGCCAAAGAATCATTGTAAATAGAAATTTACAAGAAGAAAAGTTTGCTTCAGTATCGGTGAGAGAGGCTGACTAGATTTCAAAGAGCAGGTGGGATATGCAGAGGCAGAGAGTCTGGACTTGAATTTCTAGCAATGGGGAAAGGGTGTCACAAAATTAAAGAGCTAGAGCTCAGGAAAATGCACATCAAAACCATGATGAGATGCCACTTCACAGCCACTGGGTAGCCTTTATCAAAAAAGGAAAAAAAGAGGAAAATAATAAGTATTGGCAAGGATGTGGAGAAATTAGAACACTTGTGGGTTGCTGGTGGGAATGTAAAATGGTGCAGCTACTGTGGAAACCAGTTTGGTGGTTCCTCAAAAGGTTAGACACAGAATTACCACATAGGATCCAGCAATTCCCCTTGTCGAAATGTACCAACAGAAAAGAAATAAAAAGCAAGGACTCAGACAGATACCCACACATCAACGTTCACAGCATCGTCATCCACCAAAAGGTGGAAACACCCCAAATGTCCATGCACAGGTGGACAGATTATCAAAATGGGGTTTATACATATAATGAAATGTTATTCAGCCTTAAAAAGGAAGGAAATTCTGATAAATACTACAGTATGGATGGAGCTTGAAAACATTATGCTAAGTGAAATAAGCCAGACACAAAAGGAAAAATATTGTAGGATTCCACTTCCATGAGGTATCTAGAATAGGCAAATTCATAGAGACAGAAAGTAGAACAGAGATTACCAGGGGCTGGGGGAGAGGGGAATGTGGAGTTGTTCTAATGGGTATAGTTTATTTGGGATGATGATAAAGATCTGGGAGTGGATTGTACACTTAAAAATGGTTACCCTTAAAAAGGGTAAATTTTATGTTATGTATATTTTACGATAAGCAAAAAAAAAGAAAAAAGACCTGGAAAGCACCAGAGGTTTGTGGCAGGATAAGTAGACCAGTTTGGCCTTAGGAGAAGGTTCGTGAAGGGCTGGTTCCCAACACTTGTGTGAAAAGAGCTACTGGGAGACTGAAGGAGATCATCTAAGGAGGAACTTGTAACCACAACAGTGATTCCTAGCGGTTATGGGAGAAGGAACGCCCTTCCAGCTTGAGATCCTGGTGAGTAGACTGGAGGTGCATCAGAAACAGCCGTCTTAGGGACTCCTGCGGAGAAGCCCTTGTGTAACAAGGAGTGGGAGATAAGGATGAGACCTGAGGGTTGAGGAAACTAACTGGAAATCCAAAAAGCTGGTTTGGAAGAGCAGATCGCATCTCCTCTCCCGCTGAACCGTTATGTGAGCTAAGGGCTTTCCTGTGCTCCGTGCTTCAGCTGCCTTGTTTCACTGCGTCAGCACAAAGCCCCAGGTAGTGATCACTATTGCTATCCCATTTGACAGAGGAAGCATTTGAAATCTAGAAAGGACTTTTTAGTTTGTCCAGGGTTAGCCAGTCAGTAAGTTGGAAAGTTGGGTTTCAAGTACGGGTCTGTTCTGATTTCCAAATGTGTTGAGTGCACAGGTGCTCAAGAGAACTCCCGGAGGTTCTCACTGAGTGGGTTTTGGGTAGAGCCTGGGACTCTGCAGGTAGACGAGCCCCCAGGTAATTCTGATTCAGATAGTCTTCTGTGGACCCCAGTAGGGGAAGCCCTTTTCTCTCCCGCTGCTGGAACATTCCTGGTGCCCCCAAGGACTCAAAACAAATGGTACGGCTGTGAACCAAATCTGGAGTCCCACAACTGTTGCTGCGTTGGGCCATACTTCACCCAGGCAGACATCCCGGGACCCCCGCCATTCGCAGGCACTGAGCTTGCTAGGCTCTGGGGCTACTGTGGCAAGTCTCTCACAATCCATGTCCTTTTAGATCTGTGTGCACCCATTTCTTCCCCCTACAATTTGCTCCTTGAAGGCCAGAACCATGTCTTTTAAAGTCAACTTCATTTTTTAGGATTCTGGCCACAGTCCCTGGCATATAACAGATGTTTCACGAAGTGCGTATACAGGTTATAGTTGTTTTTTCATGAAGTAAGAGGCTGCTTGTCTTTTGTATTACTTTACCTGCAGCTCAACCTGCCTGCCAACCTTTGCCTTACAAATCTGTTTCTAGAAACTTGTTCGCAAAACTGTGAATCCTGCCTTTATGAGATAAGGGACACATTTTATAGCAGATTTGGTCACTCTTTGTCTACATGTACAAACTGGCCTGAAATGTTGGCAGATTTCCTGTTACTCCAATCAGCACAGACCCTGAGGAAAAAGAATTCATAGTAAGATAAACTCCGTATTTGTAAATTACCATGTATTTCAAGATAGGCTGACGCAAGCAGGTAACCAGCAAGCTTCCACCTTACTTCGTAAGGGGCTGCCTAGACTTTGTACCCCAAGCCTCTTTCTAAAAGGCTGCCTTTCTTCTTGGTTTGCAAAATGTAAAACCCAATCCACAGTCCTTGATTAAACCTTCTCTGCTCACCTTTCATGATGAAGATTTGAGCCTTAACTTAACATTCTAAGTTGAACCTCAATTTTGAGATTCTCGAGGCATCTACCCACCCAAGCTAGCCTTCAACCAAAACCTACTCCCATGCCCCATTAAAAGGGAACTGCAAAGAGAGCCTGTCTCACCTGTGATGGTACTCCAGCGATCTGTTCAATACCTGACAACTGTTTATCCAGATCTGGGGGACTTTCTGCACCAGGAACACCAAGCAGAATGCAAATCCAGCCATGCCCATCACTGGCTTCTCAAAATTCCCCCACGGAAGCCATCCTCTCAGGATAAGGGTCAGACCACTGGCCCTGCCCCATAGAACTTCTGTCCATCTCTCCAGCCTCCACTCCTCCACCCTTCCCTCCCATGGCACCTTCCAGCTGTGCACGAACCCTGAAACTTTAGAGCGTCTTGGGGCTGCTCTCATCCCACCTTCTTTCCGGCATGCTCTCACCCCACTTTCTTTCTTCACCTGGTTGATTGTCACTCCTTCTTCAGAGTGCCCCTGAGAGGTCATCTGCAGGAAGTTGTCCCTAAGCCTCCAGTTAGGGTTAATGCTACAGTGGCACTTAGTACTTACCAGTACCTCAGTTTATCAATCATACAGAAGCAGACTGTTTCTGTGTGTCTCCCAACCTAAGCTGGCAGCCCTCTGACAGCAGGATATGTGTCGTATTCCTCTTAGGAACTAATGTACTTTGCACCATTCCAGGTGCAAACTAGTAACTCAGTAAAAGTCTGCTGAATGAGTGAACCCTAAAGTAAGAGACATCTGTCCTTTTGAAGTGACTGTCACTGAGCTGGCTCTTGAACAGATACCGAAAAAGATAAAGTAGGCTGGATAGAGAAATAAATTCCCTCCCACAGGCATCTTCCGTGGCAGCCTCTTGCAAGGCCCCAGAGTAGCTGTAGTCTTCATCTCTCTTAAAGTGTACACACTCTGCAGAGGTTGACTACTTGCCTCGTGTAACCACGAGTTTTTTAGGTTAAACTATCTGTATTTTATCTTTCCCTGAGAAATTTAGCAGCTGAGTAGTAGGAATGTTTCTCCAATTTCCCACCCACAGTCTCTCAGCAAAAATCCAGTAGTGTCTCAAGAATTTTTTGTAGCTCTGCTCAGAATGACATTTCCTGAGAAGCTTCCCCCCAAAATGAGCTTCCCCGCCTTTGGCCGTGCCCGGCTGGGGTGAGCTGCATGTGCTCAGCAGCCCAGCATTGTTAGGGGTTCTGCTTTGGGAACAGCATTTTGTCTGCCTCTTGTTCAATTGTGCTGCAGAGCATCTTCTCAGGGACCACTGCTGCTACTTCCGAGCCACCAAAACCTGAATTGGTGCCACCAGAAAGGCTGCAGGCCAGTGGTTCGTGGCAGACAAGCCGTCTTCCTAGTTGACCGTTCATGACAGCTCATCTGCATTGATCAGTTTTTGGGGCGTGGCAATTAACAAAAATCAAAGCTAGCTGCTTTAATTGACAAAGGGGTTTTGTGGGAGGGATACTGATAAATCCCACCATATAGCCCTGTTGTCTCTGAGGGAGAGCTGAATAATCAGTGGTGGGGGCAGGAAGCAGGCAGGCGTGAGAAGCTCAGCCGCCTGCGTTCATGCTCCGCCTCTCTGGCATCCTGCCGTTTATGTGACTCAACACCTACAAGTCCCAGTTCAGAACTCCAGTGCCTGGGAGAAAGGATCTGATGGGCCCAGCGTGGGTCACTCTTAGACCAAGGGGGAGAGATGCTGCTGTCGAGAGCCTCCCACTTTGGATGGGTGTCTTCGTTTCCTGTTGCTGCTGTAACAAATTACCACAAACTTAGTGGCTTCAAACAACAGAAACGTGTGCTTTTACAGTTCTGGAGGTCAGAAGTCTGAGATCAGTTTCACAGAGCTCAAGTCAAGGTGTGGGCAGGGCTGGTGGCTTCTCGAGGCTCTAGGGGAGAAGCCATATCCTTGCCTTTTCCACTTCTAGTGGCCGCCCGTATGCTTTGGCTCACGGCCCCTTCCTCCACCTTCAAAGGGCGTCCTTCTGCTTCCAACATGACACTGAGTTCTCCTCCCCTGCAGTCAAATCCCTCTCTGCCTCCCTCTTATAAGGACACTTGAAATTACCTTTAGTGTGTGTTTGGGTAAGCCAGGACCATCTCCCCGTCTCAGGATCCTTAACTTAACCTCACCTGCTAAGTCCCTTTTGCCACATAAGGTGGCATTTATTAGTTCCAGGCATGGGGACATGGATATTTTGGGGGCCATTATTCAGCCTACCACAGTGGGTTAGAAAGTTTCCAGAGAAGGACAGGTGTACATACAATCCCAAAGATACCCAGAGATACCCAGAGATACCCGCTACTGTAATACCAACTGATGACATCGAGTGATTGCTGTGCCCCGTGCATTTGTTAAACACTTACATGCCTTAATTCATTTAATCTGTAGTGCTGCTTTAAGAGTGGATGTTATTGTCATCTCAATTTTTCAAATAAAGAAATTAAGACTCAACAGATTACCAATAGAAACCTCAGGAGACAAGGGACGCAGTCACACACCAGTTAGTAGCGGATTTGGGATTTAATTCCAAGGCTGACTGACTTCAAGGCCTGAGTCACCAGGCTTTTTACTGCTGGGCCATGCTTCCCCAAGCCGACCTGTACCGGTCCCGGGTTCCTTGACATATGGAGGCCCATGGACACTGTGAGGTTTGTTAAGGCAAATTCTAAAGCCGGCAAAGTTTGTTTTCAACCTTCTTCATGGCATTTTGTCGTCTCTGACGGCCTGTCCTCAGTACTTCCGGCTTCTCCTTGGTAAATTCAATCCGTGCTCCAGATTTCCCTTCCCCAAATAAAAACACATGCTGCAGACCCATCCCGCTCAGTGAAGGGGACCATATAATTTATTGTCCAAACCTCAGCAGTGGTGAAGTGGGAACCTATGACAGATAACGTCGGCATAGCACACCCATAAACTGGCCGGATTACATGTTCTGTGACGTGTGTCCTCAGGGCTCCATGTGCAGACAGCTTATTGAAAGCAAGGAGTAAATAAGACAGTGTAAGGTGTTAATAGATAGTAATGGCTTCTTATCCCTCTCAGGGTATGTATTAGTATTCTGAAAGAGATTTCTGGAAGCACAATGATTTAACTCCAACAGGAAAAATCACAAATGGTAGTATTTTCATTATTGAGAGAGCCTGGGGGCAGGGTGTATGATTGGGGTGGAGGAATGAGGGAGCAGGGACGAGAAGGAAAGAAGAATGTTTTAGGTGGAAGGCTTTCTAGACTCCCCATAAAAAAGTCCACATCAGTAGAGATAGAAACCACCTCCATGTGTTTCAAAGGCCAGCCTTAGGTCTTCCCACCTTTGCTGTTGACTGTCTGATGGACTTAACCACAAATCATCACGGATCTCAGCAGTGGACCAGTGGGGAAGGGCAGAAAGGAGGAACCTGATGGAGGTCAGGGTCTGGGAAACTAATGCACCTGTAAGCTGGAGTCAACAAGGTTCCCCGGATCCAAAAGATGTTGACAGCTCTGGGCTGGGTCCAAGAACACTCAGTCTGTTAGATAGAGCCCAGGAGCAGATGAGGTTCTCACAAAGCATCCCGACCTGACATAATTTTCCAGACTGTGATAAGATTCTAACTGATAGGTGAGGATATTTGGATAAGAGTTTTGGGCTTCCTGGAATGAGCTAGAAAAGGCTGAGCAAAGTATCCAAGTTTCAGCCTAGTCAACAGGATTCAGGGCTGTTCTCTAATCTTCTCTTAGAGAACTAGGAGACAATCAAAAACTTGGGCAGAAGCCTAGAACATAGATTGGGCAAACAAGGCTGGAGTATGGAGGAAAATCGCAAATTGGTGGTCAAACAAGGGCTGTTTGACCGGCCGTCAAGCTTAGAGCATCACCCTTTACAGCGGCGCGGGCGGGTCCCCCAGCATCCCCCTCCCACAGCACAGGGGGTTCCTCAGTGCCCAGTGTGGCACTTGTAGGGGAGGAAAAATAATCTTCTTTCTACTTCTGAGCTCTTGGTTGAGACCCCTGTAGTCAAAGACAGATGAACAAGAGAAATAGGAAGTTTATTAACAGTGCCCCACACATCATGTGGGAGAAACCGAAACCGAAAGTAACTCAAAATGGTGGCTTAGAATTCCAGCTCGATAGCATCTTCAACAAAGGAGAAGCAGCGCGTAGAGAAACGACAGGACAAAGGAAAGCAACGTTAGGCTTCCAAGGTAGGCAAACTTGGAAGGAGAGTGGGTAAATGTAAGAGAAGAAGCTCACGGAGTAAGGTCCATTTGCAGATTCCTCTGTGCCATTTCTGGACTGATAGGACTGTCTTCTTTCCTCCTGGTACAGAAAGGGTACCTCTCACATGGGGGTCTTCTCACATGGGGAAGAAAAAGGAGGGTCAGAGTGTCCTTCTTGTGTGTGCTGTTTCTTAAGTCCTTTAATTCAAAATAATCAATATGCCTACATGGCATATTTTAGGGTAATGTATTCTGATTTCCTTCACAGTGTAGGTGGCTTCCCCAGAGCGTGGATTCTGCAGTGCCGAGTGGTGAGCAGCACCTAGCACCCAGCATCTTCCACTGGTGCTTTCATAGTGCCTCCGTGAATGGCTTTCCCCAGGACCTAGAGCATGGGTTTCCAGCACGTTCACCTGCAGGGCACAGCAGCAACTGCTCCGCCATCCCATGAGCCACGCCCTGCCCTCTGACAATTTCCAGATCTCAGCTCTCAGCTTTCTTTATATCTGCAATTCCTGTATTCTTTAGAGTTCTCTTTACTTCTTACTAGTCAATCCCTTGTGACACCAATCTCTGTTATAGTTAATAATTCTTTAAAATTTTCCCTTTCAAATCTCTCTGTGGTTTCTGTCTCCTCTCTGAATTCTGATTAATACAGAGAGTGTTGACCACAGATCCCGGGCATGTTCTGAAACGGGAAGTGTGGCCAGCACTGTTAGTGCTGCCCAGTCTCCATTCATCTTATTCTCTTAGTGGAGGTCCTCAAACCAGGCTCACAGACCCCCGGAAGCCTTTGAACAGAATTCACAGTGTAGGGGCTGGCCCCGTGGCCGAGTGGTTAAGTTCGCGTGCTCTGCTGTAGGCGGCCCAGTGTTTCGTTGGTTCGAATCCTGGGTGCGGACATGGCACTGCTCATCAAACCACGCTGAGGCAGCATCCCACATGCCACAACTAGAAGGACCCACAACCAAGAATATACAACTATGTACTGGGGGGCTTTGGGGAGAAAAAGGAAAAAATAAAAATCTTAAAAAAAAAAAAAAAGAATTCACAGTGTTCACGGACAAGGATGAGAAAAAAATTACATTTTTGTTTTGACTAACCTCTAGGTAAAATTTAGTATTTCCTTCAATTATGAATGTAGGTGATGGCCACGGCAAGGCTAACAGTGCCTGTGACTCTGTCACTAGAAAGAATCATAGATATTTTTATCTCACATTACAGTTGCAGACAACTTGAAATTTTGCTTATGCTCATGATGACTTTAAAGTTATAGCAGTTATTAGACCTGCTGCCATCTTTGTTATTAAAGCAATAATAATAAGCAAAAATGTAAATATTTCACAATTATTTTTTAAGGTAAATATTTAAAATTTTTTATTTAAAAACTTTGAGAATTCTGAGAAGTAGTTTCACCAGATTGCCAAAGGGATCTGTGACATAAGAAAGGTCAAGGACCTCTGGTCTATAATGATAGAGATTTTAGCCAGGCACGTGGACAGCCAGTCAAGGCTTAATTTCCCAGCATCCCTTGTAGCTAGTATGGCCATGTGACCAAGTTTTGCCAGTGAAATGTGAACAGAAACAATATGTTCAACTTCTGGGTCACACCCTTAAAATCAAAAGAAAATGTCCTCCCCTTCCTATTTCCTCTCTTTCCGGGCCCTGGAATAGGGGCCCAGTGGTGGGGAACCGGAGCTGTCATTTTAGACAAGGTGGTAGAAGCTGCATGGTGAAGAGGACGGAGCTACAAGATAGAAAGAACTTGGAAGCCCAGTATCTTGGAGCCTAAATGCTTAGGTGTGAGATATGACCTCGTTTCTTGTTTAAATCACTGGTATTTTGGGTTTTGTTCCAGTAGCTGAATCAATATGCTAATACAAAAGTCTGTGAGATCTGCCGAAAATCTGAACAATATTAGAAACTGAATCCAAATTATTCAGGCTGAAACCTGCCCTCTTGGATGAATCTATTTAGCTAAGAAAGCTGCTCTGGAGAGGGAGGAGGAAGGTGTCTTAACCTCAGCTGCCTCTGGCTAGGAAGCTGACCCACCCGCGTTGATGGTGGATTCCAGTGTGTCGGTGTGTCTGTCCAGGGTTCGTTCTACTCAGCCCCCGGCTGCATCATTTGACCAATTTCTAAGCATGATACATATCATATTTAATGCAAAATAAGGGATTTTTTCAAGGATTTAATTCCCCGTGGTTGTTGTTCCATCCATCCCTTCTTCATTTATTCATTCATCCTTCAACAAAGGTTTTGGACACTGGCCGTGTTCTAAGATTCCCCTAGAGACTGGGGATATACTGGCCAATAAGTCATAGCGTCTGACCTTGGGAAGCTCTCAGTCCAGGGTGAGGGCAGGAGACAGGGGGAACCCAGGCGCAGGAGTCTCCTAATGCTTCGCAGCTGCTTTGTGGGGCAACACTGAATAGACTAAGTTACAAAGCCTCTGATTTAAGGGTTAATGATCTTAAATGCAATAAAAGTTTTCCTAGTGATCTTTGGTATTTTACTTAGTATGATGAAACCCAATTATACAACTTTCCGAAAAATTACCTATGAAAATGAACATCTGAAAAAAATCAATAAAAGACAGTTTTTGAGATGAATAAGAATAGTGATAATAGGAATAATAATAGATCACACAGCTGGAACACTTTTTATGCACCTTTTACTGTGCCAGCAGATGGGTCATAATCAAATGCCTGATCAGTCCGTCTCCAAAGGTCCCGTTTTGGTTAAAGATGCCACCCACGTCTGGTTAGTGGCCAATGCTGTCCATACGAAAGGTGAATTTGAACTCCCTCGTGTGATTCTGTTTCCTCCTCTTTGTACCGTCTCGGGGCTGCTTCTGATGTCTTTCTCTTCCGAACTCGTTACAGTTGCTTCCTGAGCTGTGCTCTGACCTCAGCCTAACCTGCTACAATCCACCCTCTTAACCGGCTACATCCGCCCTCAGCTTTGCTTCCAGGTGATTGTTGACTTGTCTCTGCCCTGCTTCAAAACCCTCACTGCTCCCCAGTGTCTGCAAACCTTTCCTCCTGGAGTTCAAGGTCCTGCAGAAGCTGGTCCCTGCTTATGTAACTTCTTGCCCCGCCATCTTGCTAAGCGCTAGCCACACTGAGCTACCCTGTTTCCTAAATGAGTGATGGAATTTCACCCCTCTATGCAGTTGTTCATGCTGTTCCTCTTGCCCGAAATGCCCTTCCTCTCTTCTGTGCCTTTAGAAATCCTACCGTTCTTCAGTATTTATCTCAACTGTCTCCTCCTTTGTGAGGTGACCCCATTCTGAGACCTGACACCCCACTGCCCCAGCCCCTACTCCTTGCAGCAGAATGAATTGCTTCCTTCTCTCTACTTTCAAGGCACACGGCGTACACTTTTATTCTAGCACTTTTCACAGGGTATGGTGTCTCCTGAGTATCTTTTTCATCTACTAGACAATAGGGTTACTTGAGGTCCCTCCCAGTTCGGAACATGCTCTCCGGCCCGTGCTGGGCATAACTGCTGTAAACGAATTACCTGGTCTGTCCTGGACCCATCACCTCGGACTGTGTCCTTGCATTGCCTTGAAATGCTGGTCAGCGCAGGAGAAGCGAGAACACCAAGGCCTCTCCCTACTCTGGCCCCAGGACCTCCATTTCCCTACCCACCTCTCCAACGCTTTCCAAAAGGCCTTTCCCTTCTCATCATTTGATCTCATCCCGCACCAGTGATTGTGGCTTTAGGTGAAGCAGAGTAGCTCCTTTTACACTTAAAACCTCTGCTCTTCTGAGGCAGCACAAGGTCAGTGGATCACCAAATGTCAGCGTGAATTAGAGGTGCCTTAAAACTCTTCAACTTGGCGATCCTGAGGGCAGCAGCCTCATGTTAATTATGTTTTTATCCTTCAGAGCCTTGGAAAACGCTCTGAGTACAACATCGCTTACAAAACTCCTAAATTAAATTCACTACGAAAGTAAACTAAGATCCATAAAGTAAAAAACCTGGAGATATCCAATTCAAACTATTTACAGTAGATGGAGCTATATATTTCACTGTGATCTACTCCGCATTTCATACATCATGTGAGATTATTAACGTTTCAGCAGTTCTTAATCAGTTCATGCTTTTGCTTAAATATATTAAAAGCCGTGGGACTCACTCACCCTGTTTATTCTTCTTAGCTATAAATTGTTATAAAATGTTATTAAAGAGTTTCCCTAAAAATTGTTCTGTGATTAAAAGCAATTGGTACAAGTAGTAGACGTTATTAAAAACCAAAGATAAACCCTAATGTAAACTACAGACTGTGGGTCATGATGGTGTATCGATGTAGGTTCATCAGTCGTAACAAAAGTACCACGCTGGTGGGGGATGTTGATGATGGGAGAGGCTATGCACGTGTGGGTCATGGAAAATCTCTGTACTTTCCTCCGAATTTTGCTGTGAACCTATAACTGCTCTAAAAAAACCAGAATGTTAACAAAAAAGAGCCAGAAGTACAATAAAATCTTAAGACCCCAATGGATAAATTGTACAAAGGACATTTACATTTCATATAAGGGCCGTCAACTGACAAAGAAGTCAACCGCACTTGCAATCTTAAAAAGGTTAAAAAAAAAAAAAAGAGGTATTTTTTATAAATATATTTCTAAAATATATTTTCTGGACTAACCAAAAATGTAAATGATAATGCCCACATCTGGTGAAGTCCTGTTAAAGCTGTTTCATTCATAGTAATGATAATAGGTACAGCCCTCCCGGACATCAGCTTGGTGGGAAACAAAATTCATCACTCTTGAACTAGTGATTATATTCCTAGGTACTTTTGCTAAGAAATAATCCAAAAGGAAAAAGATAAATTCATGAAGTTGTTCATGATAACATTTTTATCATAGTAAAACATCCAAAACAAATATTAAGAGACTAAGCAAAATCTGATATTAGAATGATAGAATATTCTGCAGGGTTTAAAATATGTTTGCAGTCTACATAAAGATATGAAAAAATGCTTGAGTGAGGGGAGGGTCGGACCAAGCATTTCAGAAGACCTACGTCTATATCTAGGCTCTTGTTATGCTTCATAAAAATTGTACATAAATATACATGAGGACTGAAGTAAATGGAGAGATTAAAATAGTGTAGGTTATAAGTGATTACCAATGGAATTTTCTCCTTTGAAATGTTTTTGTTGTTATAATGCTTTGCAGTTAAAAAATTTTCAATAGTCACTCCATCTTTTTACCATTCAGATCAGCACAGGGAGAAATCTGTTGAGAAATTTTACATCTAATCAAAAATATAACATTGTGTTTGGTCTTGCAAAGCTCTGCTATATTCCATCAATAGTGGGCAGAGTTCTATCCTCAGTCTTGTATAAATTAAATCACCAGACTATAAGATCTTTACAAGGGGGAGAAATAATACCTTATTAATCTGTTTTCTTCAGACTCAGTATAGTGCTGGGCACATGGTAGATGCTGAATATGAATTTTCCTCAATCTATGTTAAGTGACCAAATGGCTAAGAAAATTCCTGAACAAGTTGTTTTCAAGAGTTCCCAGCTTGTGGCCACGAAGTTCACGGATTCCCTCCTGACTTAGCAGACCTAAACTAAGCTGATGAGAGTCTCTGTGCTTGGGGTGTTCAATAGGTGATGTTCGAATGAATGCCCCTTGATGCAGTCATAGAAGTTGGTCCTAAAACAGGTCCAGAGGGATGAAGTATCTTTCAGTCTCATCTTTTTGTAGTGGAGAATAAACCGGGGTTAGGGGGCAACAAACGGGTCAGGACTTCCGTATTCTCCAGTATTTCTGACCCCAGTGGGACATGGTAAAGACCAGGAGAATCACGTACACTTAGTTCAAGGACAAGACCCCTGAGTAGCACAAGTCACTTTCACTTACATCTCATTGGTCAGAACTTAGTTACATGGCTGCACCTACCTGTAAGGAAGGCTGGGAAATGTAGTCTTTACTCCATTTACTAGGCAGCTAGGTGCCAGCTAAACATCTAGAACAGATAGTAGGGTACAGCTGGTAGTCGGCCATAACAGGATATTTTAAAACTTTTTACTATGGAAAATTTCAAGCATATAAAAAATGTATTATGAATTTCAACGTACCCATCATAAATCTTCAACCACTATCAAGATTTGCCAATCTTGTTTCATGCCCCCCACCCCACACTCCACCCTCTACATTTTTTTTCTGGATTTTAAAAAATTGTGGTAAAAGATACATAACATAAAAGTTGGATTATTTTTAGCATGACATTTTACCTGTAAATACTTCAAAGTGCCTCTCTGATAATGACTTTTTAAAACAATCTGCCATTTTTATATGTAACAAAATTAATAATTCATTAATATCATGTAATTTCCAGTCTGTATTAAAATTTCCCCATATGTCTAAAAGAATGTCTTTTTATAGTAGTTCATTCTCATAAGTCTCATAAGACTCTTTTTATCCTATAACAGCTCCCCACACCTGCTTTTCAAAATGTCACTAATTTATTTGTGAGACCAGACCATTTTTCCTGAACAACAGTATTCTACAGTGGGCTTTTGACTTGTGTTGAATCCGGTCCTCGGGAAACATTCTTTAAAATAAATTTCTAGAATTTTCTGGTCAAAGGGCATGATCATCTCTGTGGTTCTTGCTTACCACTGACAAGCAGAAGCGTCTATCAAGTCTACTCTCACCAGTTGGGAATTATCCTATCACGTTCCTCACAGCTTGGTGAACACCAGAGGGCATTTGAAATTGTAGGCTAATGTGTAAAATAGCACCTCTATTGACAGTTTGTTAATTTAAAATGTGTAAAGTAGTACTTTTAACATATGTTTTTTTAGTTGCCGTTTTCACTCATGTATTTACCATCCACGCTTTCTCTTCCGTGACTTGAGTGTTCATATCCTCTCCCTAGGCCAACGCTGTACCCCTCTGACCCCTCCAGGTAATTCGGTAGTAACTTCCTGTTATGATCATGGCAGTCCCTCATCTTGTTTATTAAACTTTTAAAAAAATTATAGTCTTCATATTTTTAGAGTTTTAGGGTCAAGGAAAAATTGAGCCGAAGTACAGAGAGCTCCCATATACCCTACTCCATCCTTCCTCAGTTTCCCGGCATTAATGCAGGACATTTGTTACAATTGATGAACCTACATTGACACATCACCACGCGAAGTCCCTAGTTTACAATATGGTTCACTCTTTATGTTGTACATTCTCTGGGTTTTGACAGATACATCATGACATGTATCCAGCATGACAGTATCATGCAGAATAGTTTCACGGCCCTAAAAATACCCAGGGTTCCACCACTTCATCCCTCCCTCCCTCCCCATGAACCTTGGCAACCACTCGCCTTTTTGCTGTCTCCACGGGTTTGCCTTTTTCACAATGTCATATAGCTGGAATCATACAGTATGTAGCCTGTTCAGACTGGCTTCTTTCATTTAGCGATGCGCATTTAAAGTTCCTCCATGTATTTTCATGACTTGGTGGCTCATTTCTTCATATCGATGAGGAATATTTCCTTGTATGAATGTGCCACAGTTTGTTTATTCATCCACCTACTGAAGGACATCTTAGTTGCTTCCAGGTTTTGGCAATTATGAATAAAGCTGCTATAAACATTCACGTACAGGTTTTTGTGTAGACATGTTTTCAACTCATCTGGGTAAACACCAAGGAGCGTAATTGCTGGATTGAATGGTAAGGCTATGTTTAGTTTTGTAAAAAACCATCAAACTATATTCTAAAGTGGCTGTACCATTTTGCATCCCCACCAGCAACAAATGAGAGTTCCTGTCGCTCCACATCATCACCAGCATTTGGTGTTGTCAGTGTTCTGGATTTTGGCCATTCTAATAGGTATGTAGTGGAATTTCATTGTCGTTTTAATTTGCAATTCCCTAATGACATATGATACTGAGCATCTTTCCATATGCTTGTTTGCCAACTGTATATCCTCATTTGGTGGGGTGTCTGTTTACATCTTCTTACTTTTTAATTGGGCTGTTTGTTTTCTTACTGAGTTTAAAGAGTTCTTTGTATATTTTGGACAAAGTCTTTTAGCAGATGTTTTTCAAACATTTCCTCCCAGTCTGTGGTTTGTCTTTTCATTCTCTTAACAATGTCTTTCACAGTTAAATGTATTATTTAGAGAGAATCGTACACTCACATGTAGTTGTAAGAAATAATATAGAGAGATCCCGTGTCCCCTTTACTGTTTCCCCAATGGTGACATCTTGTAAAACTTTAGTAATATATCGCAACAAGGATATCGGCATGGATACAGTCAAGATACAGAACATCACCACAAAGGTCCTTCTTGTTGCCTACCCCTCATCTTTTGAACAGTCTTTCTAGCCTTAGAGAAATTCCTGCATGTGGAGACCTGTGGCCCAAGAAGAATGAGAACTCAAGTTGAAGCTAGGATAGAGACATGCACACATCTATGTAAGACTGATTTGGAAGTGGGGAAGTGAGAAATTAGGCTCTTGAAGCTCTTGTGTTTTTGCTGATGTGGTTGTGGTGTGGGCATCAGGCTTTGGGGGAGACGGCAAGAGTGGACGTCTGCAAGCTTGAGCTCCTTGTGCGGAAAGGTCATGGCGGGGGCGGGGGGAAGGAGGGGGTGGCACTCGGGCCTTTCCCTGCAGAGATGTTCTCATCAGTGGGTATCGTTCTTTAAGCGTTAGCCTCAGGTCTGGTTCACCACCTCTCCCCATGAGTCTACGCATGATCCCATACCCTTTTATTTACTTATTTAGTTTATTCTGGGAGAATGTATAGCCTTTAATTATACAAACAGAATAAACAAACCACCCCTGCCCCCAGCATTATTAACTACCCCAGCTTCATCCTTTTAATTTACCTCTTTCTCCTTGATCATTCAGGGTTGATTTCTCTTGCTTGGAACTAAGAATTTTGACTGACCAATTTCCCGAAGACTCAGGCTCCACTGGCCCCCAAGAAACAGGTGAACTTTCAGGCATTTGTGTTTACAGGAGTTTTGCTACAAATATTTGTGGAAACCAAAATAACATGGATGGCCATCTGAGACTGGACACCAGGCGGTTTATATCAGTGAGTTAACCCATGAGACTGGCAGCAGAGGAGAATAACCAGAATACAAAGGATGCTGGATTTAGAAGAACAATCTTCAGTGTGAAAATCGCTCAGCACCAGCCCCTCCTCTGAGGCAGTGGTCAGTACGGACACTGGGTTAGAGTGGAAAGTTAGATTTCAAGGACAGAGACATCAGGGTTAAAATTTTGATCTTGTCATCCATTTGCCTGTGTGACGCCCTGGAAAAGACACTTGACATTTCTAAGCCTCTATTTCTTCATTTATAAAATGGGGATAATAATAATCTACCTTCAGGGTTATTGCAAAGATTGAAGTAGAAAATGAATATCAAGGGTCTGACAGACTTTCTGGTTTATGGGAGATACTTAATAAGAGGTCATTATTACTAGGTGTCCTACTGGGAAAATAATGAGGTAAGCCCATCCCCCAAAATGAGCAAGAGGAGACTAGCACAGACTTTCTTCCTTACAGGGCAGGGGTAACCCCAGCTATGGACTACATTTCCCAACCTGCCTTGCAGCCCAGGGCTTGTCATGTTGCACAGTGTCAGCCAATGAGACTTCCATGAGAGTCTACCGGGACGATTTTATTTTCTCCCTGTGGCTTCCTTCTACTTTCCTGGCACAGCTCTCCCGTGCAGTTTGCTTCCCTATGGCAGGATGTGGGCCCCAGGCCAGAACCCTGGTGGCCACTCTCTCCCTGTGGGTCTCTGTGAGCCCTGTCCAGGGCTTCACGTTGTCTCAGAGGCGGGGCCTCTTCTGGGGGCACAGAAGGCAGGCTGATGTGGTGGGAAAAGTCTGGTGACCTCCTGGGATGTTTTAAGAGTTTTATGATCTTGCAATGAGTCCCTCGTCTGGCACCCAGGAGAGTGCTCAAGAAATGCTAGCTATGTTCCATGCACAGCACTTTCCTCTCCTGCTACTTGGTGAGCTCCTTCCGAGGGTGGACTCTATCTTATTTCCGACTCTGTCACCAACACCTAGTGCCATGCATCCAGTGGGCCTTCTGTACAAAAGTGTTTAATGAACAAGCTGCTCACATCTGGCCCATCCTGACAGCCAGGACTTAGGCAAACGTCATCGAGGCTGCTAGTTGCCGGTACCAACCTACATCCCTCCTCCTATTAGTAATTCACGTAGCAGAGTGTTCAGCCAAAGGACACCTTTCCTGACTCCCGAGCAGCTATGGTCAGTGACCTAGCTTGGGCAATGAGATGAAAGCTGACGTGATGTGGGTTCTTCTGGGAAGTCTTAAAAGGCAGGGGAGGCCTATTTTTGACTCTTCTTCCATTCTGTAGCACGGAATTTGACATGTTGTTTGGATGGAGAGACAGCATTTTGGACACGAGGACAAGGATGGCAGTCTAGAACGCCGGGAGCAGCGGGAAGCACCGGGAAGCTGGCAAACCAACCTCGGATGGATGGCCTCCCTCGTAAGACAGACAAAACTGAAACTTCCATCGGCTTTAAGCCATTGCTTTTTGGGGGTTTCTGTTACAGGCGCTGAAGTTAATCCTAAATGTTATAGCAATTAATGGAAAGAAAAATAACACCCCATCTTCACGTTTAAGCTTTTATGGCATTGCTGCCCTGTCCAAAATAAGACTCAAGCCACCAAGTTAAAACACGATTATGCACAGCCCGTTACAGGCTTTGGCGATCCAAGCGCAGGATCCATCTCCCCACTGCGTTACCCCTGCCCTCCGCCTCTTTGTTTAATGGGGCCAGATATTTGAGGCGTTTTCTCCCTGTATTTATTTGATATTTGATGCATTTTCTCCATTCAAGCAGGGAGCAGGCTCTGCACAATGGCAAGGGTTGTTTACGAAGGGCCTCCTGGCATCTGTGTTCAAAAGATTAAAAATGCGCAGACAGCAGGCTGAGAGGAGGGAAGGCCTGCCTTGGGGTCGGGCCCGGAGGAGGAATCTGAGTGAGAGGCCAGTCTGGGGGCTCCTCAGGAGGCCAGCGGGAACGCCCTCATGGTGCACCGGGGACCCGAGATTCCAAACGCACCAGGGATTCCCAAGCCTCAGATGTGACACATTGGCAGAGCAGCTAAGGGGCCATCCGGCCTGGGCCATTCCCAGGGTTGACAGAGGATTCATAACCCCCAGGGCACTCCCCACACCATGTGACCGAGGACGCTTGGGTACAGAGAGGGAATGGAGACACTTGACAGGCATCAACTTAATGAGCCCACATTCGAACTCCAAACCTGCTCCTCCCAATTCTTCCCATGTCAGCCATAGCGCCTCCGTCCTTCTAGCTGCTCAGGCCAAACCTTGGAGCTGTTCTTGACCCTTCTTTTTCTCTCACACCCCACACCCAATCCCTTAGCAAATCCAAGGGTCTGCTTTCAAAATACACCCAAATTCAGTCCTTGCTCATCCTCTCCCTGCTCCCAGCGTGGCTGCGCTGTTATCTCTGTCCTGCACTGTTGCCACAGCCCGCTGGCTGCCCTCCGTGCTCTGCCCTTGTTCCCCCAAGTCTATTCCCATGGCAGCAGCCAGGGTTAGCCTGCTAAAATGTAACTCAACATGTGCTCCAAACCCTGCAGTGGATCCCAGCTCACTCACAACATCCTGCAAGGCCCTCCCTGACCTGTCCGGTAAACTCCTTTCCTCCCTCTCTCTCCCCTCACTCACTGTGCGTTAGCCACACTGGGCTCTTTGTTGTCCCTTGAAAACACCAGCCATGACCCCACCCCAGTGCCTTTGCACGTGCCGCTCCCTTTTCTTGGAAAGTTCTTCCCCAGATATTTGAGTGACTTGTCCTTGAGTCTCTTTCAAGTCCTTAGTGAAATGTGTCCCCCTCAAAGAGGACTTTCCTGACTACTCTATTAAAATTGTATCACCTCCCCCCCAACCCAATCCTCTTCCCTGATCTTTCTTACGGCACTTAGTGATATGGATCTGACGTACTGTGTCTTTTACTCACCATGTTTATGTCTCTCTCTCCCCACTAGGATGTGAGCCTTGAGTACAAGGACTTGGGTTTCCTTTATTACTCTACTCTTGGCAACCAGAACAGAACCTCATACCTAGGGCACGGCAATAAATTTTTGTTGCACCACCTTTTATTTGCTTTCCCTCCTTCCTTGCCTCACTCTTGCTGCCCCAGGACAGCACCACCCCTAATGATGCGTAAGCACATACGCTTTGACTCAGGCTCTGTTTTCTGGCGAACTCAGGCTATTTCTATAGTAGCTGGCAGCAGGTTGGACAGCTGGTAAGAGACAGATCCGGGATTCAAACCCAGGCAGGCGGTCTAACTCCAGACCGACACAGCTGCTGCTGCTGCTGCTGTTTCTTCTGGGAGCTTCACGTGCAAAGGCTCCAGGCAAGTTAATAGTTAAGAAGGGTATATGCCCTACAATTCCTATAACCCCACAACCAGTTGGCTTCCCTGCTACCCTGGCAACAGTACTATTTGTTGGGACAAAGGAAAGAGAGTGTAATTTCTGGTCTGCAAAGACACAAACACACATGGAAATAAGAATTATCCATGAGATGGTCAGCTCATGAAATTTATCCTCAAAAATTTCTTAAGAATACATGTAATTTTACAAGATCATTCGTCGTAGCACCAAGCCCAATATTCCTTAATAGAAAACAGTCAAATAACAAATACTCCAGTTAATTTCCCACAGGTATAAATTATGCAAATAGTCACATCTTCATTTACAATAATCAATAAATAAGAGTGCACATTCACACAGTTTTTTTTTTTTTACAAAGATCCCTTTTACAAAGCTACAGCTATGTATATACTAAGTAGACAAAATAGTCCTTGTACCACAAAATAACGTTTCACTTTTTTTCAATAGTCCTCTTAGAGCTCTCAGTAAAAATGTTCAGACATTGTCCACGAAGTCCTGCCATGACATTACAAGAAATCGTGGCATTAAATCTGTTAAACATATTACAGACCTTGAAAAAATAAACACCTATCACCATCCAATATGCTCTCAACAAACCCGTTTCCAGGTTTAGGAATCTGTACCGACGACGTACCGTAGGAATGACCATTTTTCTATTTCTACTATTTGTCTTTGGCTGATGTGACCAGCACCAATGCAAGGGATGCAGGCAGCTACCTTAAGGTGCAGTTTCAAGGGCAAACGGCCCACCGGTGGTCGCTTCCTCATCCCACCCCTCCCCCCAGGTACTACGCCCACCCAGGGGCATTCCATCCTACACAAGCGTGCCAGCCTTTGGCTTAAGGGATCCAGTGCTGGGATACAAACGGCCTCTGATTCCGAGTGGACTTTCTGTGCTTAGTTATTTTGAGTCTGCTAGAGGAAGGGGGAAAAGATGAGAGGAGTAGAAATATCCAGACCTTTACAGCTATTTATTCCCGCAGCTGAACTTCTGAATTTGAAAGAAATTCCCCTGGGAAACTGCGTCAGACGCGCTAACTTAATTTAAAGAGCCCAGTTTAGTTCTGGGGGCCCTAGGAAGCAGATCCCCCACATTCTATCCCAAACATTCAGTCCCACACCTCTAACAGACCACCTTTGTCTTACCAACTCTTTCCGAAGGCACCTTTCTTAGATACTAAAGCTGGGAAGCAATGCTCTGAGCTTTGGAATTCACTCACAAGCACAGAGATGCATTTATTTTAAGCAAATAGGCCACTTACTGAGATTCAAAAAAAAAAAAATCTAACTTGCTAACCTTTGGATTTTTAAACCCAGGAAGAACTTTTAAAAAGAAGTCTTCCAATGCCCGAGCCAGACAGGTAAATGAATTATTCAAGGTGTCACAGCAGATGAGCCAGAACTAGGATGCGGGTTTCTGACGCCGAGGCCAGTGCTGTCCTACTTGGGAACAATGTCAACTCTCTAGGTTACAGACACTCTCAGAGTTTCCTTTAAAAAAGCGTTTCAATCTTCGCATGACATTTGGGAACACAGGCATTGCATGGCTGTCCTTTCTCACAGCCTAATCTTGTGGAGAATATGCTCTTACTGACCTTTGATGGGGCTAAAAGAAGTGATAGCTGTTGCAGATGGAACAAACCTATCAAAAGATATTTTTCTATTTGTCTTTGCAACAATGCAAAAATCATGACTTCTACATTTAAAACAAAGGAAAAATGATGATCCCTGTCTAACAGCCAATCCATTACGACTTCATCCCAGTAAGCCACACTTACACCCTCCATCCCCATTTGAATTGTGCTCTGACCAGCGCAATGAAATAAATTTGCTTTTTGAAGGAGAAAGCCTAATTTCCTGGGCTGAAAAGCACGTGCTGGAGGTAGAGAGATGGTTAGCTGCAGGCAGGATGTACAGTTAATTGAAGTCACTGAAATCTTTGACATTAGACACTGAGATTTTACTGCTAAAGGCCCATTAGAGCAGTCATTTTGGTTGCAAATTTGCAACTGTAGGCTAAAACATGAATTTGAGTGTCCTCAGTCATTTTTATGTGAATGTGAAGAGTATATTTAAGAAGTTTTGACACGAGGTTGGGAGTCAAGGTGCAGAAACTTGCGACGGGGACGTGGGATACGAGATGGGGGCCTGCAACACGACTAATACAGCTCGCCACCTTCCCAACTCGGAGAATTTCCACCCACACTTGCCAACTAGGCCAAAGTCACCAAGAATCAGAATTTCCTATGTTCCGGGTTCTGCCACTTAACATGCTCTAGGACCTTGTTCTTATTCCTTCCTGCACTTTACTTTCCTCTCTGAAATAACCACCTCCCAGGAGTGTTGTAAGCCGCCAATTAGTAATGAGGATACAATGGCTTCAACTTCCCCTTGTAAAAGGCGTGAGTTAGATTTGAGACAGAGGGGCTGGAAAGACGAAGGTGGACCGGACAGACTGGACAGAAGCTGGAAGAAGCTAAGGCAAATTGAATGTTAGGAAAGGAGGTACATTCAAAGCTTAGAGGGGAGGGAAATGCAGAACGAGGAGCTCCTGAGCATCATACGTCATCCATTCAACAAACATGTCTTGAGTCTTCTCTGCACAGAAGATGCTCAGAGAGGTTCATTTGCCCAAGAACATCCAGATATCTGGTGACAGAGCAGGAACTTGAACCTAGATCTGGCTGAATCCCCAAACTGTCCTCTTCCCCTGTCCCATAATTCCTCCTGGAGAAGAGGAAGGCAGTGACTAAAAAAAAAAAAAATGGGTTCAGTTTAAGAGACCCCTGCTAGACGAAAGCTAGACTCGAGTGTCAGGGATTTTAAAAAGTTAGCAGTGCAATCAGGGCACAGGTTGTTGAGTTGTGTGTGCATTTCAAAAGAACATGGTCAAACAGCACAAAACACTGGTTGTCTTCTTTCCATAAATGAGAATGTTTTCTGGCTTATTGATGCTATAGCCTGGGCTGGGAAGAACTGTTTGCCTGGAGTGGTTTCACCAAGGTTCTCAGAGAAAATTATAAACACGAATAAGTGATTCCTCCCGGCATGGCGGGGTCGGGCAGTCCTGGAACAGTCAGAGGAGCTCTGGAGCTTGGACGACCTCTGCCGACTCCTGGAGCAGCAGAAGCTGCGAGTATCCAGGCCTTCGCCCCATTCCTCCAGGAGGTGCACCCCAAGCCCGGTCCCGGGCACCACGTGGAGAAATGACAAGGCCTGAAGGTCGCTGTGGCACTCTTAAGAATCACAGCGAGGAGGGCCGTGTGCTCACGTGCAGCCTGACGACAACGGGTCTGCACACGATGGAAATGGAAGGTTCAGGGCTTAAGCCACGCGAGGCCCATGCCTCTCAGGCACCAGCCTCACCTCCCCGAGCTGCTGGCTGTTGTTCTTTAAGGAAATGCCTGATGAGAGGCAGAGTCAGAAAGATCTGTGGAGCTCCACGTCCTGCAAAGGAGCTGCGTCTCATTTCTGGCTCCCTGACACTGGCTGACGAACTAAGGCAAACTCCACAGCAAGTTTCAGCAAGGGGGTGTGACATCACTCACGCTGGCCCTCAGCCTTCACCCACCCACCCCAGGTCCTGGACCTTGTCATGAGGGCAGCCTGCTCACCAGCTGGATGGGCCCGAGGACTAGCCTGCTATCCTGGGGGGCCCTAGACGGCAGCTGCAGGCCCAAGACCTTACATCTTTCCCAAAGGCGGCTTCAGCAGAGATTATGCAATGTCAGGAAAGAGAAATAACACATCTGGACCTGAAGAGCTTTATGTGCTCTCGTTTCCTGGCAAGAGCATCATTGAGAAGGTTCTGAAAAGCCACATGGGCTTGAAGCTCCAACACAGCCCACTTCAGGGACTTCAGGACATGAAGCTGAGCACAGCAGGGTAATTCGGCAGAGACCCCTGAGGAAGGAAGGTCTCCAAGCAGAAAGGAGAGAGACGCCACGTCTCAGGACTCCAGTGGGGCTTCTGAGTCCTTCTGGAGATTCGAGAAAAACCGAGTTCACGTGAAAGAGTTCGTGTCCTAGGACTGCGATGACACAACCATGGAGGGAACACTTCTCACCGAAGACTGCCATGGTGAACTCTGACATTCAGCAAGACCCCTTCTCTACTTGCTCACTCTCACTGGGTTTGCGAGATTAGCTCTCTGATGTTCTGAGTCCTGGGCGAGGAGAGAGATGCATCTTAGCTTCAGCGGCTGGAAAACTAAATTGGGAATCAAGATGTCCCTCCCGAGGGCATGAACTGGCTGTGTGACTAGTCATTTCTCCTTCCTGATCTTCAGTTTTCATATTTCTTAAATGAGGTGCTGGACCCTTACGTGGTCCCTAAGGCTATCGAATAATCTATGACTCATGAAGAGGGACCACACAGGCATCCTCTTTTGCTTTTTAAAATGTTCTTCCCTTAAAAGGAGGAGGCAAGTACTGCATGGGGAAGAAGGTTGGGGGGCCTAGGCTGAACTCCAGGAAGGGAGAAGCAGCATGTGCCCCGGTGGCCGTCTTGGGCAGCGAGGGTGTACTCCCTGGTTCCCAGGCCTGCTGGGAGCCCAACTCCCACAGACGCTGAGTTCGGCCAGGAGGAAATGCTCACCAGGTTCCAAAGAGCCAAGTAACAAGGACGCACCCTGTTTGTTCTCTGGCAATACCAGCGGGAACTCCTTGCTGCTAAACAAAGTGAGGGTGGCAAAGGAAATCTAGAAACTGGATGACTCCATAGCCTGGAGCTTGCGGGAGGCGGGAGATCTAAGACAGTCTCCTGGGGGTAGCGGGGGAGGGCGGGGAAAGGATGGGGAAGGAACATTCGAACTGCGGCATTCAAGCAGAGTGTCCGCAGGCTGGTAACCCTCTCCTGCACCTGGCAGAGCATCATAGGGAGGCACTCAGCAGGCCACAGCTCAACAGGACGGATGTTGCCACAGCCCCAGCTGGACTCAGGGTGGGTTCACAAACAAGTCAACAGAGCAGCGAGCCCCCCAGCAAAGTGGTGAGGATGCTCCAATGGGACCTGCAGTTCAAGATGGTGTACTGAACACGTGGGCTCATTGCCTCCCTCGTGAAACCCCATGAAAATAACGAGCAAAGGAACGGAAGTGATGCAACCATGAAGACAAAGGGAAGGAGAGGAGGCGACAGTAGGTAAGAGATGCAACCCACTTACGGCAGGGGCAGAGCTGTTGGAGAAGTGGGCAGGGCAGAGGAATCCTAATCCCACCCAGGCACCTGCAGAGGCTTGCCACCGAGCAGTCAGGGCAATGTCCCACTCCACGGGGACACCAGGCACAGTGAAGTGGGAGAAAGTCAATGAGTCTAAATACTCACTGTGATGAGACTGCCTGCTCAGAGGTCAGGACGGGCACTCAGGTGTGCACTGGGACGTCTGGGTATGGCCCTACAGTCTGTGCACTGCACAAAGGTGCTTGGCTAAGGGGGAAACTGGGAGTTAAAATCTAGCCCTTGCTCAGCTCCTCAAGCCTTGTCCTACCTAGCTCAGGGCTGCATCTTCTAGAGGAATGGTCAAAAGGTACCCTCTGCTAATCAAGCCAAGTACCCATGGGTGGCTCCTGCCCAGACGGGGCACTTTTTTCTGAGTCATCCACCCAGAGGGGATGCCGCTTGTGAAATTGCACGAGGGCACTGCAGAGGCTAGTAGCAGCCCTGTGAGTGTCCCTCTTTCCCAGGCAGGAGAGAAGTGGAAATAGCTCTAAAGAAGCAATGAGCCCCAGAGAAAAGACCTGCAAATATCCCTATGTGGGGTCCCCTCATGAAGAGTCCAGGTGACCCCTGGTGACCCCATGGAAAAGCCCACCATTGACACACAGAGCTCCCAATCCGGTTTTTGATGCATCACTCTTAAACATGATCCATAGGATCCCTGGAGATTTGAAGAAACCTTGTCACATGAAAGACCGAGACTGCGACTACCCAAGAGAAGGGAACTTGGAGAAAACAAAGGCAGCACAGGGATCAGAAAAGAACTCCCCAAACCCCACTATCATGACCGTCCACAGAGAGATCAGATCCACATCCGTGAAACAAGAACAGGATACGATAAAACAGAAGTGAGAGAACAGCGACAAAATGTCCGGAAATTAAAAATTAAATAGAACATTCGGCATGTATATTGAGAAAACAAAGCTCATAACTCTCCCTGAAAGCAGATCAAAAAAATAAAGAGACGAGAAATAGAAAGGATCAAAAATATCAGAGGACTAGCCTGGGAGGTCCAACACTGAACAACAGGCGGTCCAGAAAGAAAGAAGGAATAATGACCCTCAAATTTGAGAAATTTCCTATGAGAACTCAGCATGACGTATGACATCAGAGGTGCAACACCATCAGGACAGTTCAGAACACTAAGAATAAAGGGATCACAAAGGTTTCCTGGGGAGGGGGGGGGAACCCAAGTCACATCTAAAGTCCTGGGAACCAGAACAGCATCAGAAACCTCAACCACCACGGCGGAGGTGGTGGTGGGGGTATTATTTTCCACCTGTGGTTCTGTATCCAGCCACATGGGTAAGGGCAGGAGAAAAACATTTTAAGGATGGAATAAAGACATTTTAAGTTATGCAAAATCTCAAAATATTTACAATATTTACTTCTCATGTTCCTTTTCTTAGGAAGTTACTAAAAAATAGGCCACAGCAAAAAAAAAAAAAAAAAAAAAAAAAAAAGGACATGTAACTACAGTACACCACCTGGCTCAGGAGTAAACGGTCCTCATACACCCACCATAAATAGATATGCACCAAATAACGGGACCTAACCTTGTGGGAAAAACAAGGTGGGGTACAGGGAAGAGCAAACTCCTCACCCCTATAACAGCTAGTCCACCAGATGTTTCTAAATTAATTCAAAAAAAACGAAAGAAATATATGTTATGCAGAAACGCAAAGGTCAATATTAAAAGAAATAGCTCAAAGAGTAGAAAGTGTTATTTCTAGGCAGCAAGACTTAGGGGGCTGAGAGTTTTTGTTCAAAGCCTTACAGTATTTGTTTCTTTTTAAACTATGAACATGTATTACCTGGATAAGAATTAAAAATAAACTGTTTAAAAAAAATTATAAGCCATGGGGTGGTGTGTCCTGCAGGCTTCTCTATCCACCTTCTATATCCAGCTTTTTCTTTTATAGAAGCCTATACGCAAATGAGAATTCTTCTTTTGCTTTAAAAAAAAAAATCAGTCTACTGCCCACCTGAACCAAATGACTCTGAGGCCTCTTGCCAGTAGATGGTTTTAAACAATATGACATGTTGCAATGGGTGAGGGGAGCGACCCGCAGAGATATTTCTGAACGAGGTCTAGACCCATAAAATGAAACGATTAACATCTGAGTGAGCTCTTCCCTGGCTCTTTAAGCAGCTTATTTAGGCGAGGACTGCGTGATGTCCACGGTTATAAAATAGCGCACACAATCTTTATTATCGGTACCTGTGAGCTTTCTGTGATGCCAAGAGCTCGTTAACTAGCTCCTTTTCCATGGGACACTTGGCCTTCAAGATGGAATCACTCCAAGCTCCCAACAGCTTTCAGCTTGGAAGGCTCCGATTCACTCGTGGGGAGAGGACAGGCTATAATCAGAGTGGCTTAGAGGCCAGATTTTGACGGTCATTGAGTCAAATGTCCTATGTAAACTCTTTGGGCCATGCTGGAATTCTGTAAACTTGAAACCCACTGCTTGCAAAAAGCAAGTCCTTGGCTTGCTAAGAGAGCAACGTGATTCCCGGAGTAAGGACAATGCTAGTATGTCCTCAGACCAGCTGTTAGAGCTGTCGGGGTCCTCCAGAAGTAACAGGGGACGCACCTGAAAGTGAATGCAACTTCCCTATGGGAAAAACACAAGGACAAATCCAAGGTTGATGGTTGGCCTAAACATTTTGGTTGTGTTTCAGTGAGGACATTTTTTATCTATCCATTTAATCTTTTTTTCAGGACATTCAGGGTCCCCATGGAAGTTTCCTAAAAGGGGTGACAGCTCTGGACTGGCCATCAGGTGGCCTGGGTGCACTTGCAAGTCTGTTCCTATTTGGCTGTGTGATCTTGGTCAACCCACTCTGCCTCTCTGGGTTCAGCAGACAAGATGCTGTCTGAGGGCCCCTCCTGATCGAACAGTTTGTGATTTTATAAGGATCGCCTAATACGCGCTTATTGAGGGGGAGGACAATGGGACGAGGAAGCGATACAGAGGCACCGCGACCTGGATTTTGGCAGGAAACGGAGCCGAGGGAGGCCAGGATGGAAGGAGGATGCAAGGGCAGGCGGAAGCCTCCCCCCTCACAAACTGCCTGTTCTGGTCTACTTCTCAGGGTGCTTTCCAGAAAGCCTTTTCAAGAAACCCATTACGATGGACCACAAAGGATGCTTGTGCTGAGGCTGCATCCGGAGGCAGCGGTGCACAAGGCTTTCTCCGGGCAGGAACCTGCTGGACCACTTCCAGCTCCAATGTCAGCCAGAGCTGATTCCTGGCCCAGCCACTTCGGCACCCCTCCTTAGGGCTTTTTGCAGTGCCCTGTGGGACTGTGGGGGATCGGCACAGACGCCTCAGGAGCCGTGGATGGAAGCCAGGGGCTGCCCGGGCAAAGCGGGAAGGACCCCAGGCCCCGTCCTGTGTCAGCCAGAGCTCTGCTTTTAGTGCACCATCCAGACCGGCTCCAGCCAAGAATTCATCTGCAAGGAGGGCTCCGCTGGTGGGAAAAATCTGAAAATCACAGCTTTTCCTCAATTCCATCAATGCAAAAGTGAATTTAAAATGCATCCCCACCCTCCCTCCCACCCCCAAGAAAAACTAGGGTGAAAATCGAGTCCACTGAGGCTCACGACACAGCCTTACTTTCCTCCTCTTTCCTCCTTGGATCTGCCATTCCTGGAGCCAGCAGCTTGGCGCTGCTCAGTTATCCCTCAACGAAGGCAGCCAATCGCCAGACCACAACAGGAGCATGGATACCCAGCATCTTCCCTCACACAGCCCCGCTCGCTCGAGCAACACTCGCGGTTTTCTTCCCAGTGGAGGCTCTGCCTGGGACATCCACCCTCTGCTCATCAGAAGGCCCCTCATCTGAGAGCTAAGTACCTCAAGTCCACCCAGGACCTTTAAAACCTGCGTGTGGGACAAGCTACAACCCATTTATGGCTAAATACCAGTTAATGATGCTTAGTATCTGACAAAGCAACACAGGCAACAACCAGCTCCACCCACGGATCCAGCCACACACCTGAGTTTTGAGTACAGGGCCAGAGAAAAGCATGCTTTGGACTCACAGGAGACCATAGAAACATGAAAAAAAAAAAGCGAGGAGAGGGATTCTAAGTTTCCTTGGAGGTCCTCCACTGTGTGCAGAAGTACCCCAGCCAGAACTCAAAACAAAACAAAGTAAAAAGAATTCCCACCCCGGTCAGGGTCCTGTCTTTTTAATTATGCAGACACACGATCAGAGTCTGTTGACGTCCAGCTGTGGGAAGAGCAGCAGGCAGTAAACCAGGAGCCAGAGGAAGAGGATAAAATACATCATATCCGGCTGCTGGACCAACTGGGTGAGCGAGTCGCTCTGGGGGCTGTGGCTCTCCCGCGATGTGGCTTCTCCAGAATTGTTGGCCTTCCTGCAGAAGGGGAGACACAGGCGGGGCAGTTACAAGCAGGGCCCCGGTGGAGTGGCCGCCACTTCCACCCCATGCTGCCATCTCGCTGCCCAACTGGAGAGCTGAGGGCTTCCAGTGAGGTGGCCAAGGGGCCCCGCCCTTCGTGTGCAGCCCCAAGGCGGAGGGCCGGGGTCCTGGGGGCCCCCTGAGCGTTCGCACATGCTCAGTTCTCCACAACACCAAGAGGGAGGGGCTGCGAGCCCATTCCGCAGATGGGCACACTGAGACTCAGGGCGTGGAGTGGCTTGCCCCAGGCCACACAATTACTTTGTGGCAGCGCTGGAACCTGGGCCAGGTCTAACTCTCAGTCCAGGATGCCTTCCTTGACACCACAGAGCCCTGAAGGCAAGGTCACATCCCGACAGCTCTCTGTTATTCATTCCTGACAGAGGGGACTTCCTAAGTAATCTAAAGGAACAGCGAGCTCCCCGATTACAGATAATGTAAGAACCACCGTGAGAAACAAAGACACATCCTCTCCCCGCCACACCCCCCCCCCCCCGCCCCGATCACCAGGTATTGGTTGTGGCTTTGGAATATAACTTTTAAAGTAATTAGCAGATTTGATTTGGGTCAGATTTATCGTTCTTCTTTTATTTTACAGAAGGTGGTGTTAAAGTGACATTTTGCTTTTGCCTGGCAGATCAAGTCCAGAGGGGGCTGTGTGGTGGTGATCAACCACAGCTCCAGGTGCCCACGAAGGAAAGGGTTGGGGGCCATAATGTGAGTGGATGGGGGCTGGGAGCCTCCGCTTGGAGCTGCATTTCCAGAAGCCCAGGGGGTAAGCGTCTTAGGGTCATCTGGGGCGTGTGATGGGAGATTATGAAAACCAAAAACCACCCCATCTCGAACTACCTTCTGATACAGACAGAGGCGAGGCCAAGAGGGGATTAACCATTTGGTCTAGGAACTGATTTCCAAGCAGATAACCGACCACTGACAGAATATCTTTCTCTTTCTTAAAACTGTTTTTAGAAAAACTTTAAACTCAATTTTTTCTTACAAAGGGAATAAATGCTCAAAAACATGGAAACACGATTGCATTTCTGAACCTTGCGGGCTCAAATTTCAAAGGCTCTCTCGCTCATAAAAGCTAAAAGTCCTCTTTTCCTAGGAGTCTGTCAAATCCAGTGGAAAACGTGAATTAATATTTCCATTTTACGTCAGGGGAGAGAAACAGGTCTTGCCTCTTTTTTAGGAGCCAGCGTGATGGAGTTCTAAGAACGACACTCCTGGGTGCTGGGGAATATTCAGACAGAGGCTTTCCATTCCAATAACCTAAGTCCTTCCAAGCCAATTCAAATCCACGGCAAAAAAAAAAAAAAAAAAAATCAAAATTAAGTGAGTCAATAACTTTAACAAGGATAGGGGCGTCTCAGAATTGTCAGAGTTTTAGAGATTTCTCTGGATTCCTATGTTCTAAACGGGCAGCTTTACAGGAATTCAGCAATCTTAGTTTAGGTCGTGTAGTGCTCCAAGAGTAAGAAATACTTTCATAGACATCCTGGTATGTTTGTATTCCCTCTTCATGTCTGCTCTGATGCCATAAAACTGTAAAATCAGCTCAGTGAGCTTCTCAGTATTGTACCTGCAGTGGCGACACAGAAGGAATACAGTTGTCAGGCGCCGTGGCATTGAGAACACCCAGAGTCACACCCCTGTGAACTTCTGCCTGCCTCCACCTTGGACAGCCAGTTTATGCCACTGCGTTATTTAAACACAGCGGCGAGCTCATGTCCCAGAACGATCTTTCAACTGAGTCATTTTCTGAACCACGCCCTGCCCATCAAGTGTTAATTAATACCCACTTTTTCCTCCCACTCATATTCAATTTACATTCAGTTTCTCTGAAACAGGTATTTTCTTGCCTTATCTCAGACTCTTATTATTGTTATCAACAAAGCCTAGCTGGGAGAAACAGCCACCCCCCTAAGGCAGGCTGCATAATGAAAAAAGAAAAAAATTTTAAACCCCATGGAACTTGGAGCAAAGCCACCAACCTGGTTAACATTCGGTTTCTCCTGTCATCCAGATCGGCTGCGTTCCTCAATTGAACATAGCTAAAATGATCCTACAGTGAAATTTATAAACAAAACCCCCGCAACCCAATTAGTAAAGATGAAATCTCTGAAACAGAAAATAAAATAATTTTAAACATACAAAGCCGAGCATGCCATGTTGTTCTCAATATTGCAAACATCTAGTTCCAAAATCAAACTGCTAAACAATCATTCTACATTGTTCTACCCACCCCGCTCCCACGGTCCCCCCACTGATGAACGGGTGAGGCCCCACCACCCACAGCCTGCGTCAGGGCTGTGGACCACGGTGCTCTGGGTCCCAACACATCCAGGGCTGGGTAGTTGCGAATGTAAAGTGGACCCTCCACTTAGGTTGCACCTCTGTCTTTGAACGTGACCTTTCCATGTGTGTGTGGGGGAGGGGTGATCTTGGATGCGTTTTTATAACAAAGAGGCCTTTGGGCTTTAAAATCATCACTTTATTTACATCTCCTATTGCCCAAACTGAACATCCGATTGGACTGTGCTTAACGACAAGGTTTCAACGTGCTTGTCTTCTATCCAAAAGTACAGTTGTTGCACGTCAGTGATTTCAAAGCTCTGGGCTAGGGAGGGGGAAGGAGGGAAAGGAACTGATTAGCGGGGGCGGACGCAGAAGAAGAAAGTCACATACTAACCGACTCCAAAGACCTATTAGCATGTAGTCGAATGTAAATGCTGGAGTCACTGTGACTAGTCCTGAAAAAGAAACACACGTTTTTGAATTGGTGCTACCAAGAGCCCCCACCATGGCTCCGTGCTACAGGCACCCCCATCCCGAGCCCTCCACAGGTCGATTTAGGCAAGCCATGATTTCAGACCCAGCGACGGGAGAGAGAAATCTTATCCAATAGGCCCACTTGGGTTGGAGTGTGCCTACAAACAGTAGGATGCATATTAGATACTGTGCCCTCATCTACAAGAAAAAAACACGGAGCAAGAATAGAAAGCAGACCACATATTCTTAAAAATCATCCGATCTGGGGGCAGGAAAGGATTTCTTTTTCCAAGCATGCTGAGGTCCTGGGAGTCATTGGAGGTCCTCTGCAAGCTAAGTCAGACCTGGGCCGAGAGCTGGTACCTGGACTCTCTTTCCAGTGCTCCTTCTAAGTACAGTGCCGCTCTCTGCTTGTGGAGCTCTTGGGCATCCCAGCTCTTTTCCTCTCATACACAAGGCGACTAATTTTCTGACCCGACCTTCGAGGCCGATGTGGAATGGATCTCTGACCTTCCCACAAAGCTGGCTTGCCCAGGCATGAGGCAAGAGACACCCAGCCAGAGGCCTGGGCTGACATCCTGGCTCCTGGCTGATCCATTGGCAACCTCAGCCAAGAACTTAGTCTCTCATGAGTTTTCCTCATCAGTAAAATGGTACATCACTCCCACCCGATCTGCTCCACGGAGCTGGTGGTCCCGGTGGGGAGCACAGTGTTCCGTAGGTGGACGTGGCCCTGTTTCGCTGCTCGGCGGGAGAACTGGGTGTTGGGTGTCGACGTGCCCTGGTACAGAGACAGTCACCTCAGCTTCCTCAAGGGAAACCTACGATGCGGCATCCTGGGGTCCTTTTAAAGGCATTTGACCCAAGAGTTTACTCCTGGGGAATTTATCACTGGCAGGCTTGCTATTCCCTGCCCACTGCCATCCTGCAAACTTCACCAAGCTCTCCCTTGCATTGGGCATGTCCCCAGCTAAGAGGTATTGGGTACCCACTATGTGCCAGGGGCGGGGCTAGGCCTAGGGAAATGTCAGTCCTTGTCCTCCAGCCAAAGCCTGTGCTAGTCTTCCTGGCTGGTATCACAGCACAGAAATGAAATAAAATGTACCTACAAAGAAAAAAGATGCCCTGGTGCCAAGAACCCAGCAGTGTCCCGTGAGAGCCGACTCCACACACTGCAGCAGCTGGAGATGCACGGGGGGCAGGCTCTGCCCCGTGTGCTGGCAATGTTTTCTAGTAAAACAGCGCACCCCCTTTAGGAGGGCACTCTCGCTCTTCCCGCTCCCCTTTTTTCCAGCACGCTTGCTTTGAGGTGGTTTTCTGGTTTTTTTTGTTTTTTTTTTAATTGAGTTATTGATAGGTTACAATCTTGTGAAATTTCAATTGTACATTAATGTTTGTCAGTCATGTTGTAGGTGCACCACTTCACCCTTTGTGCCCACCCCCCACCCCACCTTTCCCCTGGTATCCACTAAACTGTTCTTGGTCCATAGTTTTAAATTTGAGGTGGTTTTCTTGTTACAGTATAATCAATACAAGACTTATTCAGGTCTGAACCCTGAACTTCACTCTTTCCACAAGCATTATCAAGAGTCTGCCGTGTGCCAGGTGCTGGGGACCCGGCTCCTCCAGGAGCTGACCGCAGACTGAGAGCGCACTCATTCACGCATCCATTCATTCATTCACCCAAAGAATGCAGTTGAGTGCCAACTGCAAGCTGGGTGCTCTGCTAAAGGTGGGCTCTGCTGGTATGCCCTCCCCGCCTCCAGCGAGCTGGCTCCCCGGTGAGGGGAGAGCAGATGATAAAAACATCCTTGCACAAATGACTATAGGAATTACTTTTCGATAAATGCTGTGCAGAAAAGAGCAGAGGCTAGGAGAACATATAAAAAGGGATCAAAAATGTCCTGTGGGGACCCAAGAAGGCTGCTTGGAGGAAGTGGTAGTGGCGGCTGAGACCCAAGGGAGCGAGGCCGGAGACAGGCAGGGGACAGAGGGACCTCAAAGGCAAAGGAGCTTGGGGGGGCATTCAAGGACCTCAGCTAAGACCAGGGGGCGGGGCACGGTGGAGATGAGGGGAGAAGGTGACTGGGAGTGGATGAGGATGAGGCTGGGGAGACAGGGATCTTACAGGCTCTGGAACAACGGGCCTTTTTGCCTAGACCAACGGGAAGCCACAGGTACAGCCAGGAAAACAGCCTGTGCCTGGAAGAGATGCCCAGGGCTCTGTCCCATTCAACGGCCTCGGGCCAGGTACTGACTTCTCTGAACTCAGTTTCCTCGAGTGTAAAAGGGGTGGTGGCACCTCCCACACTGCAGGGAGCAGGTGAGACGGCCTGGACACAGGAGGGGCCCAGGGGTGCTGGATCATTCACACGAGAGAGCACAGCTCCCTGCCACCTGCTCACATGTACTCTGTAATCTTCACCTCGGTGAACACGGCTTTCTAATAATTACAGCTTCGCCTGAGGGGAGGGAGGAGGCGCTGGGAGGGGACCTGCTGCCTGCTCCAGGCGGACTCTACACGGAGATCAGAGGCAGACCTCTGCACCCAACGGTCAACCAGGCCCCACACCACCTACACCGAAATAATGGTTGCCTTTCCCTTACTTGTGTCCCTTCTCTCAAGGACAGCCTATGGTCCAATGTCTGAGATAGCTGCTTCATATACTGTCACACACTTTGTTTCCATATCATCCCCCAGGGGCAGGTTTGCTGGTACTTGTCGATGCTGCATTTCAAATATGCTCACCTTCCCCCACCGCTCTCCATGTTTCTCCTCCTACCTCCTCACCCCCCACAAATATTTACTGAGGTGCCTGCTCCATGTCAGCTGTCTGCTCAGGCTGTTTCTTCTACCTTCTCTCTCCTCCCAAATCCGAATCCCACTTATCCCTCCACAGGAGACTCAAATGACACCTCGGCCCCAGGCTGCCCTGAGCCTCTCCACCTGCCTCTGGGGCCCAGAACAGGAAATCCTCACTAGCCTGTTAACACCTAAGGTGCTCCACCCGGTCCCAGGAGAATAGACGGAACCCCATCTCATGTCCCTCTAGAGCCCCTGGAGGGTGCAGCTGGGCCTGAATCACCACTGTGGCTGGCCTCTTCTGAAGTCCCTGTCTAGCGGACTCCATCACAGAGCGGCTGCTCAAAGGTAACTGAGAACTGACCTGCTCAGGGAGAAGATGAGCAGTCTGGCGATGACTAACGGCCCCTCCCTGAGTTGTAGTGGAGTAGATGACAGCCCTGGGCCTTTTGGCCATAAGCGTTTGTCTGCACTTAGAGCAGGGTCCAGCAACACGCTAAGACTTAGACGTCTACTGGACAGTCACGTCCAGGGGCAGGGAGAGGGTCCCTGGGAGTCACAGGCAAAGTGGGCAGCAGCCTCCCCTCGTGCCTTGCCCCTCCTCCCTGGGCTCTGTCTACTCTCCCTTCGTCCCTCACAGCCCAGCCATGGAAGAGAAGCAGAGGGGCGATGGCAGGCTTGGCAGCCACCAGCTCCTCCTCTGGCTCTCCCATCTGGGCCTCTGCCTGTTCACTCCCCTCGGCACATATGCTGAAGTCAGGAAGATGCTTATAAATGGCTAAGTTTGGTCCCTACCGAACCCAGCCAGCTGGTACCTGGGGGCGGGGGTGGCTGGAGGAGTCTCCAGGCCTCTTACTTCACCCCACATCCTCCTGGAGTTTGGCCACTCCAGGGCTCCCTGCCAGGTTCCACCCAAAGGTACTCAGAGTGAGTTTTGCTTGTTGTCCAGTCCCGCCCCCTGCGCCCCCATAAATCAGAAACCGAAAATGCAATGAGTTCAGAGAGTAGCTCTCTCGCTTGGTCCCGGGGGCGAGAAGATATTATACCTGGAAGGGACTTTGTGGTTGCCAGTGTCTTCTTCTAGGTCATCTGAAGAGCGAACTGTTCCAGGTGCTATAAATATCGAACTTTCTACGTGGTCCACATGTTTCCTTTTTTCCTTTTTTTTACTGCTGACTGATTCTTCTGTTACCTTTGCTTCTAAAGGGTTTGCTAGGTTTTCCAAGTTTGGGGATTCCTGAGACTTAACGATAAGAAAATCAAACACACGTCAGCATTTCATGTTGAGATGGCGAGTGAGTGACCCTCCCAGCTTGATTCCCAGGCCCAGCTGGGCATCCCTTTGAATTCTGCCTGTCCCACAGATTCCTGCCGGCACAGGCTGCCTTGGAAGGGAAGGCCACCCAGCCTCCCGCTCCCTGTGCAGAGTTCCACCGCTCCAGACGGATGGAGTGAAAACAGCACGGGTTCTAGAGTCAGCAAGATCTAGTTTCAAATCCTGGCTGCGTCAGCTATCTGATCTTGAGCAACTGACCTGATCTCTCTGCCCCTCAGTTTCCTCGTCTGTCACCTGGGTATAACGATTACCAACCGCTTCCACTGGACGATAATGTTTCCTATAGAAGAGGTCTCTTCCAGCGGGCAATGCTTGGACCCTTCACACAACCATCGCCTACTTAGACAAAGGAATGAATCCTGGAAGAAAGGTGGGCCGAGGGGTGCAGAGGTGGCCCCAGGGTTTGGAGAGGTACACACACAGGCAAACGCATGGCTCGTGGGATGACATCTTCACTGTGCTTTGCCCGAAGGTGGATTGTAGTGCAACATCTCTAGCATTTCTTTGATAAGGAAGATTCTGTGACCACTGTCCATACTGGCACTCTGAACCCACCAGGAATGCTCCTGAGTGAAATCAAGAAGGGTGGGAATGGCTGGAGCCACCTCTCAAGAATTCCTCAGGGGCTCGAAGAACCTGCTCGACAGGTGCCAGAATAAGGGGACTGGAGTGACCGGGGCCGTGCACCCCCGGAGAACAAAGCTCTGGGCAGAAATTAAAAAGGCGCTCAGCAATTTGAAACGCCAGCCTCCCTTGATCATCAATGGGCAAAGGCTACCTTTTTTGAAAAGCGAAATGAGGAGAGAACTTTTTTCTAGAAGAAGGAAAACTTGCCATTTTCTAGTCCCTTTGGAAGATATTTTTTCTTTCTTTTAAAGGAGGGCCAGGTATCAGAGAGATGCTCCATCCTGTGTCATCTTGTCTGCCAGGATGTCACAGACCTCACCTGTCATCCCAGGCTGCACCCCACCCCTGTTCACCCACAGGGGACAAGGCCAGAGCTACACTCGGGAGCCAACTGCAAGGTGGGCAGCAGCAGTGGGCACCTGTTTGCCGGACAGGTGAGAGCCAGAGAAGCAGATCAGAGCCCAGAGACACAGACGGCACCAGTATGGCTCCCGCACTGTACCCGAGGGATGTGACCTCTCCGCAGGCTCTCCTCCCAGCTCAGCATGAGATGGATTCAGTCTAGGTCTCCCGATTCCATCCCTAGCCCAGGGCTCTTTCAACCCCACCCCAAATCTCCCGTCCACATGCTGGGCACAGGCAGGTGCACAAGCTGCTGTTGACAATGACTGGAAGGAAAGTGCATGAAGAGCTGCATCCGCATTTCTGCAAGCCGCGTTCCAAGAGCCGGGGGAGAGGAGCGGAGCCCCCACTTCGCCATTTGAAGTAACACGAAGGGGTAGAGATGCAACTCAGGCTTTCTTCCCTCCACCCACTTTGTCCCCTTTCTTTCGTCTCCAGAGAGCTTTTCAGCCCATGAGAATCCAGAGAATCATTCCCATTATTGTCGTAGTCCCCAACCCGGGGACCCCAAGACTTGATCTCATTGAAGGGCGTTTCTAACCCCCCCGGATCTTGGGGTCTCCTGAAGGAAGAGCCTGCTCAGGCAGGGCTGGCTTCCGACAAGTCAGGAGACAGCAGGTGGGAGGGGGTGGGGGCCGGCCCTGGGTTCCTCTCCCTGAGGACAGACGAGGAAGATGGCAGGCAGGTCCCTGGTTCCTGTGGGACCACCCAGGCCTCTTCTCTGTCCGAAGACGGACATAGCATGGATGTCTCTGCCCCAAAAGGTCAATCGGTCCTGCCACACTTGCCTTCTAGGGCATTATAGCCTGAGAATTCTGCCGCCCCCAGAGCTCCCAACAGCTGTTCCCCATTGTCCAGAGTTGGGAAACCGATTAACCCAAGCTAGCCCTTCTGGCCTATCCAAATCCTAAACGTCTTCTAAGGTTACTCCGATTCCCCTTCCTCCTGGAGCCCTCCCAGGCTGCAAGGCTTTCTCATTCCCCTGAGCACGGGTGAGCCCCTCCCTCCGCCTGACTCTCTGCCACGTGAGCCAGAGCATCGTCATTTATCTCTGGGTTTAATTTATCCTACGTTCGCCTCGCCCCCAAGCCACGACGCAAAACACCTTTGTTTCGTGCTTTGCAAGCCCTGTCAGGCTGGTCTCTAGAGTCCAAAGACTAATACACAGATGCTCACTCTCTCCTGGGAGAGAGGATCACAACCTAGGAAACCAGCTTCCACGAGAGCTGAGAGCTGAGAGCAACTCCTCTGCCTGGGGAGGGGCCGGGAAGGCTCCCGGGAGGAGGTGATATTTGCTTTGGGCTTTGAAGGGTGAGTGCTTGCCAGGTGAAGGGTGGGGAAGGTCGTCCAGATGGTGGGGCCGGATCAAGGAAAGCCTGGAGGCAGAGGAGAGCTGGAGTGTCTGCGGGCCAGCGAGGAGGCTGGCTGGGCTGGGGGCGGGGACCGAGAGAAGGGGGACCAGCGGGGTGGGGAGGCCAGGTTGGGGAGGGAAGAGTCTCAAAGGTCATGCTCAGGAGTTTGGACTTTATCCTGGAACAGGAGGAGGAGAGCGATGGGACGCGATTTGTGTTTTAGGGTCCACGGCCAGTGGCGAGGGGGCTGAACTGAAGAGCACAGCCGGGAAAGACTGGGGAAGACCCCATGGGATGGTGTTAGAAGCCACTTCAGAGGCAAAGTGATCTGGAACAGCCAATGTCCTCAGCCCGGCCCCACATCCCAGCCCTGGGTCCTGCACTGTGCCCTCCACCCAGAACTGCCCCTGCCACAGCTCCAGAGGCCCCCACACACGCAGGCTTTCTGGACGTGGGTGGGTCTCCCTCTGTGGAACCCCTGCATCTCTCTGCTGGGCCCCATCTCTTACGTCTGAGGCCACGCTCCCTCATGGCACAGCTGCTGGGACCTGGTTGCCCAGCTGCAAACACCAAGGCAGGTCTCCTTGGCACGAGGCCTTCTGCAGGGCAGGACCGAGGAGGCAGGTGAGCTCGCCTGGGGTCCTCTCTCCTCTCAGCGTCTCACCCTGGGACCCCGTCTGCACCGCACCCAGCAAGGACCCAGTCTGCCTGGTGTTGGATCCACTCCCGGATTCCCAGTGCTGCGGTGGGGGGCTCTCATGAACCCTGCGCTTGCAGGAGGACCCCTCCCACTGCGCCCCCACGGGACCAGGCCAGGGCCCACATCCTCTCACTGCTGCTCTTGAGCTGCTGGGGGCCGCTCTTGAGCTGCTGGGCCAGATAAAATGGGAACATCAAGTGGCAGGTAAGTGTGTACCCAGCTCCTCGAGTTCAGAAGTGTGTGTCCCTCCCTTGCCCTGTGCACACAACCCGCTTCAAACCACAGGAACCTGATAATAGTGCCGAACAGGCAAAAGGCCTTTAAAAATCAAGGCTGGAGTCAAACGTGAGGTCTGCAGGCTGCCGCAGGAGGTGGCCCTACGATTTACTAACAGCCCGCCCAGTGTTGAAATTTTACTCTTTAAAATGACTGCTACTACTCTGCCAGACCCTCAAACACGACTCATCTGATGCTCCTGGCAGCCCTGTGGGTAGGGCCAGGCAGGACCGGGGGAGGCCAGTGGGGCACCCAGGGTGCAAATTGTAAGGAGCGCTCATTCTCAAGGGCCAGCCCTGCCCCTGCCCAGGCCTGAGTGAGTGCCTCCTTCAATGCTGGCCCCGGGATGTGTGTGTGGGAAGCTTCTGTCTCCCTCTGCTATGGAGGAACAGTGGAGCAGAACCCATCCCGCCTCAGGGTTCCCAACCCCGCAATCAAGTACCTGATGGCTCTCCACAGGGGCGCTCTCCTCAGCCTCCCTTTGCTGGTGGTCCTCTTGGGGGGATGTGGAAGCGGGTTCCGAGGCCGGTCTGGCATGGTCTGCACCCCTGTCCAGAGATGGCGCCTGGAAGCCAGCCTCGGAGGGGTCCTCGCCCAGCCCGGAGAAGCTGCAGCTGCTCTGAGAGGCCTCAGCCTCCTCCCTGGACCCCAGGTCACACAGATACTCCTCTGGTTCTTCGAGGTCCATCTCTTCGTTCTTCAAATCCTCCGCGCCTTCTGTGTAAGCCTCCAGAACGGCGGCCAGGGGCACCTCGTAGTGCGGGTAGTAGAAGAGATCGTGGGGGATGACGGAGATCTTGGAGAGGGGTGGGGAGGGTCTGAAGTCCAGGCCTTCTTCGCTGTGACTCTGGAGGGTCTCCAAGCTGACGGTGCGGCTCGGCGGGTTGGAAAGCAGCTCTCCGCCAAGCGCCCGGAGGCCCTCGGCCTCCCCTTCGTCCTCGCCCTGCCTGCGACGTGGGGACTTCCTCTTCGCCTTCTCATAGACTTCTGGCTTTTTCTCCACTGGTGCCTCCTCTGGGGCCAAAGAATAGTCTTCATCTTCTCGTTCAGGGTCCTTGCGGGGGTCTCGCATGTCAAGCTTCACTGGGGGCTCATCTGAATCTTCCTCTTTCTGCGCAGATTTTGCTCTCCTTTTGCCCAGTTTCTCACCATGATCCTCCAAAACCTCATCCTCAGCAAGTTTTTTCTCATGGAGCAAAGGAACCTCATTGAAAGCCTGGCTGGTCGAGGCAAAATCTACTAGGTCGCTGCTAAACTTAGAGGCTTTTAATGGGATGCCTTCGAAATAGTCTCCTTCATCCATAGCTTCCACAGTCTGCAGCTTAACCCTGATCTCCAAGGAGTCGGCCATGACAGTGCTCTCTCCCAGGGGTGAGAGGGGACGACCTCCTTCCTCCTGGCTGGCTGCCCTCTCCAATGCCCCATTCCAGGAGGGAGGACTCTGAGACGTCTCAGAATGACTGATCTTACCACGCGCCAAGGAAATGTCACCTGGGGCCTCATCAGAGGCAGCTTCCAGGATCTCAGGCTCGTCCTGTTTCATCTTATCCTCGGCTACCTCCACCGCCAAGACGTGTCCATCCTGCTTCCACAACTCCTCTGTCCCCCTTGGGCTCCCTTCAAAGCGAAAGTCTTGACTGTAGGCGGCGTCCTTACTGCAGGAAGCATCCTTGTAGGTGTCAGCCTCAAAGTGCACGGTTTTCTTGATTGGCAAAGAGTTGGACCTCCGGTTGTCCTTTCTGGATGATAGGATGGAAGATTCTGGAGATGGCTCACTGATGCTGATGGTCTTACCTGGGACCCCTTGGAGGACCTGGTCGATGATCTGGTGCATGAACTCGGAGGAGCTATCTGACAGCGTGCGGCTGGAGATGCCGCCGAGGTAGCACTCCTTCACACTCTCAGGCTTGTCACAGACAAAGACTTTGGAGGGTGGCGGGTGGCTGATTTCATGGTTGACCGCGTAAGCACGCTCCCCATTTTCACTCAGAAGGAAGACTGTGCTCTCCTGTTCAGAAGGGGTTTCTTTGATGCGGACAAAGGTGGATTCAATAGGGGCTTCTTTATCTGAATCCACAAAATCTTCCTGCAGAGAAACACGGGGCAATGTGAAATCAGAGGAGCGTTCGAGTACACCATGCATTCCCCTCCCAAAAACAAAAACCAAAGCGGAAAAAGCCACTTCAGAACTAATGCAAGTGTTCTGGTTAAGATGCAGAGGGCTGCAAAAGACTATTGTTCCTACTGAAATGTGAAAACACCTGATAAATTTAAAATAATGTGTTTTTTAAAGCTATGGATACAAAGAAATCTCAATCAACTGAATGTTAGAAAAGGAGGACCCTCCCTAAGTGAGCAGAGACTGTCAGCTCCTTCACACCTGTGGGCCATTGCCTAGTCTGGGTTGGATAGGGGAGCTAACCCACCTGAGATACAGAAAGATCAGCCCAATCTTTTTTTTTTTTTTTTTTTTGGTGAGGAAGATTGGTTCTGAGCTTAACATCCATTGCCAATATTCCTCTTTTTGCTTGAGGAAGAGTCTCACTGACCTAAAATCTGTGCCAATCTTCCCTGATTTTGTATGTGGGATGCTGCCACAGCATGGTTCGAAGAGCAGTGTGTAGGTCTGCGCCCAGGATCCGAATCTGCGAACCCCGGGCCACTGAAGTGGAATACGCAAACTCAACCACCAAGCCACCAGGCCAGCCACTAGCCAAACCTTTATTGATTGTGTGGGCTGGTGTCAGAGACGGAATTTGGAAGGGCCCCAAATGCAAAGCCAATTCTCCTCATATGCTAATTCTCCCACACAGGGACTTGAGCTAAGCAAGAAGCAGCAGAGAGCAGGGCTGAAAAGCAGAGGGCAGTCTTGGTGGTACTGCAGTGCTTGGCTCCTGAAGCACCCGTGGAGAGAGTGGATGGACCGCATCCTAAAATCATTTGAAGCCAGAGGGCTGAAATTAAATAAAATGGCAAGGTAGCCCTTATCGGTGCCAGAGAAGGTCAAAGTGACCAGCTCCTCATCACAGGCCCTTGGTTGAGCAAGGGCTATGTTCTCTGGGGGGAAACTGTCCTCTACCTCAATCTCTACTGTTCTTTTATCCATCAGGTCTGGCATAAAGTAAAAAATTGAAGATAGAAGGAAGGAGGAGAATGCGATACATAATCAAGAGAAACAACAGTCATTAGAAATAGACCCAAATGTGACCCAGGGTTAGAACTAGCAAACAAAGACTCTAACTATTTAACTAGGACCACGAGACCACAACGGTCATCCTTCAGGCTGAAGGGAGTGACCACAGATGGAAGCCTGGATCAGAAGGATCCATTTCCAGAATGAAAAGTATCTGAAATGGTAAATATATGGTCAATATAAAAGTCTATTTAAAAAAGTTTTCTCAAAATGTCTTCTCTTTAAAGTGAAAATAATAACAAAGCATCAGGGACTAAAACATGCAGAAATAAAGCAAATGACAATAACAGCACAAAGGAATGGGGAGGAAGTGAGTGGACTTGAATTGTTGCATATATAAAAATATATAAAACATGCATTTTACTTGAAGTGGTATAATGGTAACTCAAGGTAGATTGAGGCATGTCCAAGATGAGCATTATAATCTCTAGAACAACTACTAAAAAGATTAAACAAGGAGATGAGGCTAAAAAGCCAACAGAGAAGATTAAATGGAAACCAAAAAATAATGGAATAATCCAAAAAAAAGTTATGTGGGTAATATTTCCATTTTACAGATGACAGCTTATAGACACCTATCAGAAAGGTTAAGTAAGCAGTTCAAGGTCACACAGCTTCAAGTGGCAGAACTGACATTCCAGCCCATGGAATTCCAGCTTCTAAAGCACCCTGGGAAGCGATCTGTGGTGCAGGCACACAAGGGAATCACATACACAGGCAGAGACTGGAATGAAAGCCACCGCACGGGAAGACCCAGTCTGGCTCTTCTGAGTGGTACAAAACGGGGTCTCAGTCTCAGCCTTATGTTGTGAGGATCTAAGAGCCTGAACCCTGGAACCACAGAGACCTGGGGTCAAATCCCAGCTCCGTCCTTGGTAGCTGTGACCCTGGAGCGGCCTTTAAGCCTCTTCAAGCGCCCATATTCTAATCTATAAAGTGAAGATGATGACACTGAGCCGTGTGGGACTGCAGGAAGGGCAGTCACCCGGAGACACACAGGACAGGGACCTGAGCAGCCTCCAGCTGAAGAGCAGCCCCGTTCCCCCGTGAGCATTAGCTCTTTATGCCTATTTCTTCTGTCTAGTACTGACAACTACCTGGGACAATAATGTGTTTGCTGACTTGTTAACTGTTTGCTCTAGCATAACCAAGCTCCCCCGTGAGGGAGCTCATCCGCTGAGGTCACGCTCAGTCCGCCTGAGCCAGCAGGAGGTGTGCAGTCAGCTGCCACTGACTTCCACAGAGGCTGGGGTGGCTGTCATTATCACCACCTCAGGGCCGCGTATGGGTTGGGTGCAGGTTCAATGGAGCTGTGAGAACTTCTAAAAGGCCTGATTCTGCTCCAAAAATAAAATCTGTCGCCAACTGTAATCTGGGATTCTGACAATAACAAGGCATGCTTTCGAACACTCAGTGTCTTCTATCATTTTTCACACTCTGACAGAATCTGGTAGACCGCTAACAGGCTCATCCGACTCGTAAAAGATCAAGTCGCCGATCCACATGGTGAGCAAGCATCTCTTATGATCTTAATGAAGTTTGGTGTGGGAAGGTTTGTAAGAGGTGAGGCTGTCTAACTTCTCATCCTGCTTTTTGAAAAAACATAATACACGTTGTATATGGTTCTGAAGTTAAAAGGTGGCAAAGTAACACTCAGGACTTGAGATGAGGTTTGGACTATCACCGCTCGTCACACGGAGCGGCACAGCCTGAGCCCCAGCTTCGTGTGACGGCCCGCTGAGGCAAACGTACAGTTTCTGAATTAGAGGTAAGGAAAACAAACATACGGCTTCCAACTCCGGAAAATGTTCTAGAAACTGTGCCACGTAAGTCACGATAGACTGCTCGTCCGGTGTGTCAACCATGATGTCTGTTAAGAGAGACACTGGAGTTAGAAGGACAAACGTGATTTTTTTAAAAAATTTTTTTGTTTTGAGGAAGATTAGCCCTGAGCTAACTGCTACCACTCCTCCTCTTTTTGCTGAGGGAGACTGGCCCTGAGCTAACATCCGTGCCCATCTTCCCCTACTTTATATGTGGGACGCCTACCACAGCACGGCTTGCCAAGTGGTGCCATGTCCGCACCCGGGATCTGAACCGGCAAATCCTGGGCTGCCGAAGTGGAATGTGCACACTTAACTGCTGAGCCACCAGGCCGCCCCAAACACGCGATTTTTAAACAGGATCATGGGACACTTGATGGTGAAGAATCTCACAGATCACTGAGGTTTTTTCTCTTTATTTTACACTGGAGGAAACTTGGGCCCAGAGAGGGTGAATGGTTTCACTGAAGTCCCACAGCCGGCTGATGAATAGAGGGAGCTGGAATATAGAATCCAAGACTTCTTATTCCCAAGAATGTCCACTATTCCCGGCTGTCTTAGTCCCTCCACGGTGAGCAGCCAGCTTGCTGCCAGCTCCATCAGCGAGTCTGGTGAACCAGGACCCTTACTCACTGCTAGCGGGAGCCTCAAATTAGCCTACCCATGTGCAAAGCAATTCGACAGAGATAGTCAAGTGCCTCAAAAAGCTGTGCACTTCCCAGCTCTGTCATTCCTCTGATGGGACCTGATCCTGAAGGAAATAATCTGAGATGCACACTGAGCTTTATCAACGAGACGTTCACTGCAGCATTCTACATGAACCTGACTATTTCTGAAACACCCTCAATGTCCGCCAGTGGGAGAAGAGTGAAGGAAATGTTGGTATGCCTGCCAAATGGACCATTATGGAGCCAATAAAAATGTATAATGAAGACATCACAGCAACATGCAAAACACTTACGTCATAATCTTAGGTAAAACAAATGATACAAAACAATACACTGAATGATCCCAATCATGTAAAAAAAATTATAATTAGATGCATAGAAAGATACTGGAAAAATGATCTTGGTGGTAGGAATATAGGGGATATAAAAATGTCTTCATTAGGCTTTTCTGCGTTTTCCAAATTTTCTACACGGACAGCATGTGTTACACATGTAATACAAATTATTACACGGAAAGAGAGAGAACCACTGGTACCTTCGGGCTCCAGAAGCCTGGGGATGTGGAGGGCGTCGTGCGCGATGCGGAAAGCCTTCTCCAGATTTTCCCACATGGAGTCCTCCAGGGCCTGCTTCATGTCCACCAGGCTGGGGTCGATGGCCTTGATCACAGCCAGGAAGGCCAGCCCACTTCTCCAGCTGCCCGCAAAGTCCTGCACCGCCACGCCATACCTGAGGAAAGCCGCAGCGGTCATGAGGCAGGTTAGTAAACACACTTCATGATAAGGAGGTCAGCTCGCAGCAGCCTCATTGGCCTCCAAGTGGGTCCAGGGGCTGCGAGCTTGCCAGGCAAAGACACCCCAGGCCCTGACCCTGGGAGAGCTGGATCGAACCATTCATGTTTCCGTTTCGGGAGCAACAGAATCAGAAGAGATGATGCACAGAGAGGCAAAATAGGACCTGTGTTCCCCAATTCCCAGGTATATGAAGGGGCAATTTTATACACTGCTCATTTGGTCAGTGATACTCAAAATGCAGCAAATGAGGATGCACTGTGCAATCAAAGCGGAGCTAGAAGGAGCCACATTCACACCACGGCTGCCCCTCTGTGCTTCCAGAGCTGTAGCCTGGGGCAAGTCACGTCCCCTAGAAGCCTAGCTCTCTCACTTATAAAACGGGTCATCTCGCTGTGACCTCTTGGCCGCTGTGGGGGAGGTATTAGGTTGAACCCACAAGAACGGCCACGACACGTGGACAACCTTGTGTGCAATGTAGGTGGCACACGGAAGCCACCCACTGAGTGGCAGCGAATATCATTATTAATATAAATAAATTAAAAGTTTAAAAGTGAATGACAAAGACAGTCATCTTTCCAGGCACTATTTCCTCTAGAATCCATCCCCTGAGACCCCACCAATCTCCCAACGCTCTAAAAAAAAAAAAAAAATCCAAACATCTTTTTATTTAGAAATCACTTAAGATTCATAAGAAGCAAAAGCTGGCCAGAAAGACCCTTGCAGCCTCCACCCAGCGGCTCTGGATGACAGCACCTTACAGCTCCAGGGCGTGTCATCAAGACCAGGACACTGACATTGGGTCAAGACTGTGGCTGAAAACACAGACCTCATTCAGATGTCCCCAGTTTCATTCTCGGCGGGTGGCATCCGTTACCGTGGCATTTTATCACAAGCACAGATTCCTGGAACCACCGCCACAACGGAGGTACGGAAGTGCTGCATCCTCCCAGGGACACTTCCTCGGCTTTACTGTCACCCTAACTCCTGGCAACGAGCTCTCTTTGGGTTGATTTATTTTTAAACAACATTTAACTGTTGATCCCGTTAATCAATTCTGGCATGCTCGACTCCTCAATCAAAACTCCAAAGATCCAGCCTCTCTTCCATCTTTTTTTTTTCTTCCATCTTTTGTTCCCATCCACTGAGGAGAAGGGATAGGACATTTAAGAGCTTGTTAAGTGCTGGTATTGTGCGAGGCGCTTTCACGGAGTTTATTTCATTTAATCCCAGCTCCCTATAAGGCAGCGAATGGTGAGTTACCATCGTGCACATGCGGCGTCCAGAGGTAAGTGATTCACCAGGATCTCCCCATTCTGGAGCTGGCAGAGCCGGGGTGGCCCCAAGGTGGTGTGGCTTTCGCCACATGTGGCCTAGCTTTCTACCCACCCCTGCCCACGGCCCAGAGGCCCAGAGGCCCAGGGGCTGTCGGCCAGCTGCCGGTAAAGGCCTGACATGAAGCTGCTGGAAGCCCTTGCCGGCTGGCCTGGGAGCTTTGCTCCAGTTTACCTGCCTCGGTTTTGGAAAGGCCAGACCTAACTCTGGTATGTCACAGCCTCTACTGTTACTAGTTTCTAAGCAGGTACAGACTCTGAAAGATACCCTGAAGCTTAAGAAGAAACACGGACATGTTATTAGGATCCAAGAGACATCCCCACTCTGGGACTGAACGTGGCAAACGCCCCTCGGATTTATATTCAAATGCTCTCATCAGCGTTCTGCAAACCAAGCATTCCTCAAACACAGTTTTGTGCGTGCAGACGCTGAAGAAGGCACACGTCCCCTGTCCGGGCAGTCTACACAAAGCACAGACACCTAAGCGGCATGCAACTTAACAGAGGCTAATGCCCCTCTCCTTCGCCCACCCCAGGGGGGTCCTCTTCCCGGGGCCTCATGACAGTCTGGGATGGTGGGGCCCGGGCTGCGCTCACTTCCTGGTCTTCCTCTGCACCCACGCCAGCAGGGTCCTGATGGCCTTCCTCTGGTCTTTCACCGATATCGCCGCGCTCCTCTCTGCGGTGGGCGTGGGCGGGAAGGAAGAATCTGAGTCTGTGCCCCCCGAGCCAGGTGACAGGCTGGAAGATGGAGAGTTCCTGCTGAGGTTGCCCGTGAGCTCCTTAATCTGGAAGGAAAATAGCCTTTCAGACCCCAGAGACACATCCAGCACGCACCCCCATCCGACCCGAGGCCACGCAGACCCTGGCTGAGGGACCAGCTCACGCAGAAGCGGTTCTCCAGGTAGGGAGAAGCCCCTTCCTGATGGCCATGTGTCAGGGGACAGGGCAGTCCCCATGGCGGCCTGGCTGTGTCAGGTGGCTGGCAGTGGGGACAGGGACCCCTCACAGGAAAGATCACCTCTTCCTGGGGTCTCTCAGGCTCCAGCAGGGCACCGCACACGAGGTCTTCCTGACCTGACTCCGCCTACCCGTCCCCTCCCAGCCCAGCACTCTGGGGAAGCATCCTGCTGTTTCAAGCCCCACTGCCTATGCCCAGCCTGGTCCTGCTGCCTGGATAGCCCTCCACCACTGAAGTCCTGGCCACTCAAAACATGGCTCCTATCAATGGGGCACCTGTGAGAAATGCAGAACCCCAGGCCCTGCCCCGACCCACGACTTCAGAATCTGCATTTCCACAGCACCCCCAGGCAACCTGTAGGCACAGTAAAGTCTGAGAAGCGCTGATCTAGGGCACTCCTACTCAATCTTCAAAACCCAGCTCCGGTGTCCCTTCCTCCAGGATGTTTTCCTTACTCCCCTTGACCCTCTGAGGGAGTGGCCCCCACTCAGCACTCTTACTACTCTCTGCTCATACCGTGATCATGGCCTGTGCCCTGACTTCTATAACATGAGACTGACTTGTCTGTGATCCCAGAGAGTCATGAGGGCAGGGCCGTGTGTGTCCAGAGCCGGGCACACAGGAGAAACTCAACAGACATTTGCTAAACGAATGAATGAAGATCTGGGATGGATTCAAGGCCTTGACTTTTTACACATTTTCAGGATGTTTCCAGCATCTAAAGGAGTTTAATAAGGAACATCGGTAACCGAAACCTGTCCATGACACTGTGCAGGTGACAAAGGGCTTTCCCATACAGCATCTCTCAGTGCTCACCACATAGTACGACCACTGCTCCCATTTCACAGATGTGGAAACTGAGGCTGAGAGAGAGAGCCTGTGGTTTTTTAAGTCAAGGTTCACACAGAACTGGATCTCGTCTCCAAACCTTGTTTGTGCTCGTTTGTCTCTGAAACACAAGCGTGGAGCCAGAAGCCCCAGCAAGTCCCCTCCATGCACATCATTTCTCCTCTTGGGAGGTCAATTAAAAAGAAGGTCTCACCTGTCACAGCTGCCCCTTCCACTGTCCGAACTCTCTTTACAAGCTCTTTAATCATCTCTGCCGAACCCTTGAGTTATTGTAGGAAAGTAACTCTACCAAATTCAATTTTGGGTTGGAAGTATTTCCCCAGTTCTTATGACACTTAGAACGAAATTATTTTTTGAAGTAAATATTTCACTCTTCAAGTCCCAAGAGGATGGAGCCACTCCTCTGGGGAACAGAGCTCACACCATATTTAAAATCATAGGGACCCAAATCTGCAGCCACCAAATTCCTCTGTTTCTTTTCCAGGAAACAGAAAAGCCCAAATGTGTCAGGAACTACCGCTCCCTGTCTCCCCCCCGGATCCCACTCTCCTGCTGGTGCTGAGCAGACGCTAAAGATTCTAAAGGAGATCGCTACCACGCGTTACAGAAAGAAAGTTCTCTTACCTGGAAGAAGAGGATTATGTTCCATATCAGCCCGAGAACCAGAGAGGGGTTTCCATCGGCTATTTCTGCCGCGTCGATGCTAACCAGTTTGACCTGGAGAAAAGCCATTCGTGAGCTCACGGGGTGTCCAAGTGGGTTGAAATGTTACTTTCTGATGCCCTTGTGGGCCTGTTTCTCTTTCTCATCTGTTCCATTCGGTGCTGCCCACAGCCCCCTCTCAGGGACCCAGCATGGAAAAGTGTAACTGTGTTTGAGAAACACGCACGTTGCACTCACCACGCGCAGACACCATTCTAAGCTCCTGACAAGTGTTAACTCAGTTCGTCCTCCCAACAACCCCACAATGTAGGTACTTCTTTTATCTCTCTATTTCAGGTGAGGTAACTCCAGAGAGGTCAAATGTCACACGCCCAGGGTCACACAGCTAGTAAGGTCTGTCATTCTCTCCCAAGGAGGGATGGTCAGTGCCCCCAGGTCTGTCTGCAGGCTACACCACCACCACCAAACCTGCAGATTTAACACGTCGTTGGACAAACACAGAGCACCCACGTCAGCAATCACGGACCACGATGGGCAAGATAATTATCCATTGCTAATTAGAAAGTGTGTTGGGATGGGGCTGACACCCAGAGCTTCCGCATCATTCCACAATAGCCTACTGATTGCTTAAAATATGCCTGTTTGAGAAACCCTTAGGAGATGACCTATTTAACTATTTTCTGACCCCAGGAGGACGCTCTTGGTGAATCCCTGAGGCACTGGTTCTCAAAGTGCGGTCCTTGGACCTGCAGCATCAGTACTGACTGCCTGGGAACTTCTCAGAATGCAAATTCTCCCCGAGACCTATTCAGTCGGAAACTCTGGGAGTGGGGCCTGGCAGTCTGCATTTTAACCAGCGCCCCAGGTGATTCTGATGCAGGCTCAGGTCTGAGGACCACAGCCCTAAGTCATCATTTTATTCTGCAAACAAAATCTGAGTCCATCGATCAGAGATCTGGAAACTTCTGTGAAGGGCGAGAGGGTAAATATTTAAGACTTGGCAGGCATATCCGTCTCCACCACATCATCATCTTCTTCATTCTTCACAACCATTTACAAATGTAAAACCCATTCTTTAGGAGGAAGAGAGTAGAAGTAAACTAAGTCAAGGGAGACTTTCAAATCTACGCTGTGAAATTCTGCCAGGGAGGCTGGGAGAGAAAACATGAGGAAAGCATCTCACACAGTCTTTTCTTCCTTTCCCTCGGGGCTTTTTAAGGTCTCTGATCCTATCAGTTTATCAGGGGTTTCTGACAACACCAATCACTAGGACCTGGGCGTTCCTAATCGATGGAGAGACTCCTGCGTTCCCCGGCTCAGGTCTGTTCCAGGCTGATGCCAAAACTGTAATTTAGAACAGCACGAGCTCATCATCTCTGGCAGGCTGGAGTCAGGAAGGAAGTTGTCAGTACTGTGAACAGCACAGCCGATCAAATCCAGGTCCAATTTTCATGCGCATTCGTCACGGGCACACGTCCCGTGTGATGAATCACCTGGGATACGCGGCCAGCTCGTCTCCTGAACCTCTGCTCCCACAGCCCCTCCATTTTTGTGGCTTATGAACACATTCCAGTGCCGGGGAATCAAAGCGGTTAGTTAAGGTGATCATCCCAGGCTTCACTCCCATCTGGAGGGAGCCCAGCATGGCCCTCGGAGCTGAGGGTCACGGGAAACATTCCTAAGGGAGAAAATGACAGAGCTGCTCTGGAGGGACGCCATGAATAGGACGGGAGGCCGGAGAGGGGTGGGCGGGGGGGCAGCAGCTCTCGCGAAGGCCATTTGGAGAATAAAGCACGAGCGAAGGTGGTAATTGCAGGTGGTCCAAAGCCCCAAGGAGCAGATATTCCTGAAGACCTTGTCGTGGGCGCCCAGCTGCCGTCTGGTTCTCCATGCTGAATAATGTGACAGCCAGAAGCTTTAGGGACAACGTCCTCCTCCTCCTGTTCCCCCAGCCCTGCTGTTTTCACCACACTGACAAGTGGACCAACAGGCTCATGGGATATTCCTCCTCCCCCTCTGGCTGGCCCATCGAGAGTGGGGCAGTGATAAGGGTCATCTCATAATGCCTTCCGCTGTGGAGCCCTGACTTCCTGCTGAGAGGTTTTCATGGGTTAGTTCATTTAATGGTCATAATATACTCATTTCATAGATGAGGAAGCCGAGGCTCAGAAAGGTTGAATGACTTGATGGAGGTCACAGAGCTGGTCCCGTGGAGCAGCCGGTCTCTGACTCAGAGTGAACGCTATGCTCTGGGATGCACAGTTGTGTGAGAGACGGAGGGACACGGGCCAGCCGAGTCTAACAACGTCTGAATCCTGGGGCAGACGGGACCTGACGCTGCGCCTCCTGGCACCTGTTTAGCATCAATCACCCAGTTCCGGGCACTTTCTTTGTCCCAGCAGAGCCACTGTGGCTTGTCCCTCCTCGAGCTGGGCAGTGGGATAGGAAGGGGCCAGTAAGAGCCCAGGAGCATTTGTGGATTCTGGGGATGGGGTGGAGGCTGCCTCTGAAATGCTTGTTTCGCTCTATCTCACCCACCCGCACTCAGCTCCCCACGGGGCCATTCACCTGTCTTACCTGCCTGGCAAATGAAGCCAAATGGGGTGCAAAGCTGCATAACACAGCCACGTTTGGAATATTTCCAGGTTTTTAAATGAAAAATGAAGAGGGGGCGCTTTCCTGTTCTATGTACCGTGAGATAGCTGTTGCAGACAGTTTGGGAGCATTCTGGGATGAACTACAGGCAGCCAGGCCTCCAGTGAGCACTTCCGCACCGCCACGCCTGTGCGTGGTGTCCCAGCTGGGACACCGCCCACCCGGCTCCCCGGACAGCTATTTGTCGTCGCCTCTGCAGGATCATTGCTCCTCTCCAAGCCCCTGGTGTGAGGTGGAGCACACACTGTCCATATGGGGTCTCTTCTGCCAGACTCTAAGCTCCTTGAAGGCACAGATGTGCTTCTACTGCAGCTGCGTGTCCCCAACACTGAGCGCAGCCCCAGGCCCACAGGAGACACTTGGTAAGCGTGCCCCGAACCGTTGGAAGCCAACCTACGAGCTCCGTGGGTGACTCGGACAAATGCAGTGGGAGAGCGTTGCCGACATTACAAACCCATCAACACGGGCAGCTGACAGAGGAGGAAATTACTTAGGAGTCGAAGCTGGAAGGAGGAGCAATGAGTATCCCAGACAGTTGTTCCAAGCCCCGTGTTATCACACAAACAAGGCTCCTTTGGAATTCGGGCATGGACACTGCTCGGAGCAGCCACGCCTAACACTCCCTTCCAGGGGCAGGCCGCAGTCGGTGGGGGCGGGGGGCGGTGGGGAAGGACAGAGAGTCGCAGGCGACGGAGTCCTGGCCCTGGGCAGTGGGAGGCGATTTGCCCCTCTACCTGGACCGGCAGTCAGTCCTCGACAAGGCTCTGGGTAGGTTCGGTTTTTACTACTTCAATTTTACAGATGTGGAAACTGAGGCTCAGAGAATCCACATAAATCTTCCAGGATGGCAAGCCACAGCAGGACCCAGGCTCTGAACTGCCACGAGAGCCGAGGCTGATGGCAAAACTGAGTCTGCACAGAGGCCAGCTGTTCTAGCGTCAGTGCGATGCACTTTTTAAAAAATAGCTTTACTGAGATAAAATTCACATTCCATTCACTTCACCCACGTAAAGTATACAGTTCAATGGTTTTTAGCATAGTCACAGATATGTGCAAGTGTCACCACAGTCAATTTAATGTTTTTTCTTTTTGTTATTGCATTAACATTGGTTTATAACATTATACAAATTTCAGGTGTATATCATTATATTTTGACTTCTGTGTAGATTACATCATGTTCCCCACCCAAAGACTAATTACCATTATCACCATCCACATGTGCTTAATGACCCCTTTCTGCTTCCTCACTCCCCACCTTCCCCTGGTAACCACCAATCCAATCTCCATCTCTCTGTTTGTTACTGTTGTTATCTTCTATTTATGAGTGAGGTCATATGGTATTTGACTTTCTCCCTCTGACTTATTTCACTTAGCATAATACACTTAAGCGTGTATACATACATGGATGTATGTATGTAAAACACATCCATGTTGTCACAAATGGCAAGATGTCACCCTTTTTATGGCTGAGTAGTATTCCATTGTGTATATATACATCTTCTTTATCCATTCGTCCCTTGATGGGCACCTAGGTTGCTTTCAAGTCTTAGCTATTGTGAATAGTGCTGCGATAAATGTAGGGGTGCGTATATCTTTACACATTTGTGTTTTCATGTTCTTTGGATAAATAGCCAGCAGTGGAATAGCTGGATCATATGGTAGTTCTACCCTAAATCTTTTGAGAAATCTCCATACCGTTTTCCATAGTGGCTGCACCAGTTTGCACTCCCACCAGCAGTGTACGAAGGTTCCCATCTCTCCACGTCCTCTCCAACACTTGCTTCCTGTCTTGTTAATTACAGGCATTCTGATGGCCTCGAAGTGATATCATATTGTAGTTTTGATTTGCATTTCCCTGATAGTTAGTGATGTTGAACATCTTTTCATGTGCCTGTTGGCCATTAGTATTTCTTCTTTGGAGAATGTCTGGTCAGATCTCTTGCCCATTTTTTAATTGGGTTGTTAGTTTTTTTGTTGTTGAGATGTACGAGTTCTTTATATACTTTGGGTGTTAACCCCTTATCAGATACATAGTTTGCCAATATCGTCTCTCAATTGTTAGCTTATCTTTTTGTTTTGTTGATGGTTTGCTTTGCTGTGCAGAAGCTTTTTAGTTAGATAGAGTCCTACTGCTTATTTTTTCTATTGTTTCCCTTGCCTGGTCAGACCTGTACTTGAAAAGATGCTGCTAAGACCGATGTTGAAGAGTGTACTATGTTTTCTTCTAGAATTTTTATGGTTTCAGATCTTGAATTCAAGTCTTTAATCCATTTTGAGTTGATTTTTGTGCATAGTGTAAGGGAATGGTCTACTTTCAATCTTTTGCATGTGGGTGTCCAGTTTTCCCAACACCATTTATTGAAAAGACTCTCCTTTCTCCACTGAATGTTCTGGGCTCC